ATTTCAATTTTACACATGCTCCTCGAATTTGATCTTTTTATTGCAACTTTTAGATTTTGATTTTTTTTTAATTTTTCGAAATTTCTGTAATATTTGGAGAATTGTTAATTCCACGAAACTACTTCATACCAGTAGCTTTTTCATGCTACTTACTTTCAATTACTTATTATCACTGATTATGGACAGAAATATGATTTTCTTCAGGAAATGATAATACCCGCTTCCAAATTCTGTTATGTTTGATGCAAAGTTGAAATATCGTCAAGCATTTAGAAACAAAATTCATTTAAACTGATCTTTTCAGTACTGGAAAAATAAATTCAAATGAATTTCGTTTCTAAATGCTCGATTCAAACATAACAGAATTTTGATGTTATGTTTGCATCAAACATAACAGAATTTTGAAGCGGAGATTATCATTTTCTGAAGAAAATCATATTTTTGTCGATAATTAGTGATAATTAGTGATTGAAAGTTAGTAGCATGATGAAACTACTGGTATGAAGTAGTTTTATCGAATTAACAATTTTTTTATATTAGGTACAGAAATTTCGAAAATTTTAAGAAAATATCGAAATCTAAAAAATGTAATAGAAAGATAAAATCCGAGTCACATATGTAAAATTCAAATAGAAACAACTTTTTCAAGTAAACTTTTTCGATATTCGAACAAATAAGCCTACTTTCAGCGATTAATTTGAAAAAATGTCACTTTTGACATGTAGCGAAAGTCACGTGACCCCGTTTGAGTAGGCCATTTTTCATCTTTTTTGAAGCAAAACTTAACGTCCAACTCGAATTCCAAAATAAGTCATTAATAAAAGTTTTTCCCATATGATGCCGACTTTATGAATGACACTGTATAATCGAATTATAAAAAAATTGATACTCATCACGTGATAAATATATCCATACTCGAATAAAAAAAAACACTCACCATTTTGAAATAGATCGACTTTCATCACCATCTCACTCATCTCAGCCACACAAATTCAATGTTCCAAAATGTAGCACAGCACAATGTACACTTTTACACTTATATACACTTTTTACACTCTCTCACACACACAAATAATGCAATATCTCGTGCAATATGAACCATTTCGATTCGGCACTTGTAAAATAATACCGAATATTATTCTAAGCCAATTCAATCGACCGAACACGATGAACTCTAATATACGACTGAAATCTGACGAATGACCGGCTTGATTCATCATCCTGATGACTAATTAGTTACGTCACTCTTCTAACCGGATTCCTGAACAATAAAATCTTATCTATGACTAAAGTTGATATGGAAAAATTGTTTTACAGGGGGTGAAATTAAATATGTGTACAGTGTGTACAGTATTCGATGCTTTTGCGACATACCTCAGTTATCTTTGGAGATTGAATGTTGCGGTTTCCACATTACTGCCTCAATTTTTTGTGAAACGAATGATGCCGGAAACATAATTTTCACAATCCTTCATGTTTTTGAGATACAGGGCGAAGTTGAAAATTTTCACTTTTGGCGTACTCATTTTATTTATGTAATTGGTCATTATTAGAAAATGAAGCCAATTTTTATTGAAATGGGATACCCTGTACATTCCTATTCAGTTCGATTCAGATTTCGTATAGCTCATCATCAAAAATATATAATAGTTGATTATTTTCTTCGAAACTCATTTTTGGCTCCATTTTCTGAAAATTAGCTATTACAAAAATGAAATGAATGTATTATACGTAGAAATAAGTTATACAAGGCCCTGTTCTCATCCTGCGGATGAGTTGAAAAGTGACCAAGATGAGATTCTCAAAAAATGAGAATTTTCAACTTCCCCCTCTATCTCGAAAACATGAAGAACTGTGAAAATTCTGTTTGTGGCTTTATTCGTTTCACAAAAAAATTAGGCAGTCAGGATAGTAATCCATGAAAATGTGCATGCATATATTTTGGAATGCGCTCTCTTCATATTTAAAATATTTTCGAGCATGCAGTGTTGTCGCTTCGACTAGAAAGTAGTAGCAATAACATTGATATTTCAAATAGAACACCCTGTATTTCTTCGCATTTTTAAATTATTCCTGAAGAGCTGAATTCATCGATATATCACACTTGGGGGTAGGATTTGTTTGTGTCGAATCTATTTATTATCGTCCAAAATGGCTCACATGTCCCTATCTCAACTTTTGATTTATTATTTACTGATATTCAATCGGAACAGAAACAGAGTGATCAGAATTCTGAATCTTGAACAGCCCTGTATGAGCTTTACGAGAGCCATACTGTATACAAACCCTAGGTGTAATATATTTTTCATTTCAACTGTTCATGAAGATTTCGAGAATTGAAAAATATACATATAGGGTGTTACTTCTGAACCGAATGTCGTGGACATGGACATCATAACTTAAACGTGAATCACTTTGTATATTTGATTTCTCGATATACATGTCGCATAAAAATGAAGTATCCAGTACCTACCTTCTTTACGAAAGCACAAAATCATAGCAAGATACCTATCACGTGATAAATATCTACAAATTCGAAAAAAAAACACTCACCATTTTGAAATTGATCAACTTTCATCGCCATTTCAGCCACAAAAAAAAAACAAACACTTTAACACAGATACACCTTTCTCACACACACAAATAAAGCAAGATGAAGCATTTGATCGGGCACTTGAAAAATAATACAGAATGTTTTTAAACCAATTGAATCAACCATACGCGATGAAATCTAATATACGACTGACGAATAACTGTCTTGATTCATCATCCTGATTACTAATTAGTTACGTCACTCTTGTAACCGATTCCTGAACAATAAAATTTTATCTATGACTGAATTTGATACGGAAAAATACTTCTACAAGGGGTGAAAATAAATTCAATATAATAATATGTTCGTACAATAAAAAACAAACAGAGATACTTTTAGTAAATATCCAGTATACAAGGTGAATATGAAATTCAGTTTTTTTTAACAGGATATACAAGGTGTTTTTGAAATAAGTGCACATATACAGCACATCAATATAATACAGTCTAAGGAATATTCCCATAATATCCGATTTTTTCTAATTATTCTGATAAACGAGAAATTTTCTCCCAGAAATTGAACAAAATACTAGAAAAAAATTTAGTACGCCACTTTAAAACTATTTAAATGATTGAACTCCGCGTGATTGTGCCTACCGGATGGGGATTATTTTAATCCCTGAATTTGTTTTATTAGTGGCATTCGACAGTACACGTCGAACTTTCTCAGTGATTGGAATATTTGCACCTATTTCAATGCCACCCTGTATATCTCACCAAAATAAGTTGTTGTGGGCAAAAAATTGCTCACATAAAATATTTAAGATAACGGAGGTACAGGTAAGAAGACTCCAACTATGAAACATTTCTTTACATTCTCTCAAAATATTTTCAGCAATGCAGTGTTGCCGCTTCTATAAGGAAGTAGCAACAACTTTGATATTTCAAATAGAATACCCTGTATTTTATTGCATTTTTAGATTCCCCTGAAGAGGATTTAAATATATACATATGGGGTGTTACATCTGAAACTAATGTCGTGGACGTCATAACTTAAACGTAGATCACCTTGTATATTTGATTTTGTCATATACATGTGGCATAAAAATGAAGTATCCAGTACCTTATTTACGAAAGCACAAAATCATAGCAAGATATCCATCACGTGATAAACATCTCCAAATTCGAATAAAATAAAACTTTCATCGATATTTTAGCCACAAAAAAAACATACACTTTAACACAGACACACCTTTCTCTCTCACACACAAATAATGCAATATAAAGCATTTGATTGGGCACTTGAAAAATAATACAGATTTTTATTTAAACCTATTGAATCGGCCGTATGCGATGAAATCTTATATACGACTGACGAATGACTCGCTTATTGATTCATCATCCTGATTACTAATTAGTTATGTCACCGATTCCTGAACAAAACAAAAATATCTATGACTGAGGGTGATATGGGAAGGGAAATATTTCTACAGGGGGCGAGAAGAAATTCAATACATGTATTGATATGTCGGCACGCTCTGTTTGAATTAATATGACAAATGAGTCATTTACATATATAGGTACTAAAGAAATGGATAAACCAAAAAGGGCAATATTTTATTTGATTCATCAGATCAAATTCAAATTTTGTATATATTCCTCTGTTATAACAGTTTGTTTTTACGTTTAATTTTTTCATATATGTTTTGTATTTTTGATGTTCATTTCAACTATTTGTTCCTGTCGTTTTTTGTATCATCAAGTACCTATGTAATTGTATTTTGTGTGATATTTGTGATTATTTTCAAATTGAGAATTAGGAGTATGATAGTTTTTTTATGAGATTGTTTGTTCGTTTTTTTCTATTTTCTCGTAAGTAGGTTACTTTTTTGTTTACTGACGTCAAAGTCACAAACTCACTCACTTCTCTGAATCACCGTAGAAAAACTGGCGATCTGGCTCTATTATACGGATATTTTGATGGATGATGCTCTTCTGAAATATCAACAATAGGTTTATTTTATTATCTTTTCTCGGAATTCGCGTATAGCATAAAATAAATCTGAATTTTTGACAAGGTATTTACTGATGAAATAAAAATCGAACTGGCAACCATGGCCCGCGCAGAAAGTGAGTTGACAACAATAACTGTAGCATTTGCTGTTTTCAAATTAATTCACGAAAATCCGATAGATTTCATGTGTGAATAGTACCGTGATGTATGTGTTTGTGGTCGACGAAAAAATTGAATATGTACCTCGGCGAAAAACTGTCTATATTGTCTCGCCTGATTGCTAGCCTCGGCTACCATTTGCAGACTCGACTATAATAGACAGTTTTTCGTTCTTGGTACATAAATAACTATTGCGATCTACTTTTTTTTATCAAGTTCCTACCTGAACCATGATGAAACTCAAAGTGAGTTCGTATATTTTGAATTTTTTTTATTTATATTTTTTTTGTTTTAGGCACGAAAACATTTCCCATACCATGCTAAACCACATAAACATTTTATGATTATCGTATGTTTTTTATTCAATGTTTCAAACACCACAAATTGAACTGGGTTTTATTCAAATTTTTAGGTTCCTCCATATATCAGAATGCAAGCTGATAACTACATGGACACAAAAATCGAGGAATTTGAAGACAGTCCACAATGGCAAAACTGGATCGAGGACAATGAACCAGTCCAAGAACCAATTGCTGTACAATAAATTCTCATTTCGTCAGCTTACTGTCAAAACCTCGTTAGTCGATCTTTCAGAGCTAATTGTTCATGAGGGGAAAAACGTTTTCCACTAGGTACTTCGAACGAAGGCTATTCCTCCTTTGTAAAGGCACCTGCTTGATGAATGAAATCAACATTCTGAGAAGATTTATATTCTCTATGTTCAAATAAACGACATACGAAGTATTTACAAATATAAATTGAACATTATTCAGACTGAATTGGTTTTCTAGTGAAAATTGTCATTTAGTTTGGGCTTGCTTCAAAGTGCATGTAGCAAATCAGCGGCAGTTTTGATAACAATGAGAAATATGGGTTCAACAATATATAATGAACCGAAATATTTCAATCAATGTCTTCATTTGGAATGAACATAATAAAATTATACAAATATTCATGACATCTTCTCAAAAGCTCCTAATTCCTCTACTAGATAGATAACATACAGATCAGAACCTCGTAAGTCTGTTTACATGAAGAATCAAAACGAGACTGTTCTTCGCAACACTGCAGGAATATTCGAGAAGATCGACCAAATAGTTCCTCATAAACTTACTTTGGTGTCTGACATGGAATTCAGTTCAAATAATGGATCAAACAATAGAGAATTATACTTTCTCAACGAGCACAACTTAACCCTATCCTCTCTTGCAGACGAGTTTTTGAGTTCAAAATCTGTCAGAGTAGAGTTAGGAGGTTTAAATTATATCAAATAGATGTTGCTACCAAAAACATAGACTTACGATGATTTGGTGATGGGTGCGCTGAATTTCGTAGATGGTGAAAATGTTCAAACCTAAAACTCCCTAGAATTCGGACTTATACGAGGTTTTGATAGTACTTAAGCCGACGATTTGGTATTTCATCAGCAGTAGGTCATTTTCATTCCATTCAAAATATTCCAATTATTGTGTCAAATCCAGAAATTATTCCGGATTGCTGAAAAATCTGAAAACGTTATTCAATTCTCGAAAATCAGGAAAAATATGGCAACACTATATGCCGATATCATCATCTTAGAATTGAACATATTGACTTATTTCTCAGATTTCATCAGTGATCCTGTATATTATTTGGTTCCCTTTAATTATTAAAAGCACACATTCCTCTAATAATCTACTACCTTTATTGATGATATAGTATTTGAAAGAACCGATAATGAAAAATTACCGGCTGTCCTCCCTTTAACTTTTTCAGAATGTCATTTCATTCCTTGTTGAAGTATTTAGTTTTTAAGTCTATGTCAATTGTCATAATAAATTCCAATTTATGTTACTCTTATGACTTCAAAAAAAGTTATAGGGACGAAAAATTCATCTGAGACCCCTGGTAATATATAACATACATATTATAATGCACGATGAATCAATTGATCACAATAATTATATAGTTATTCATACACTGTTAGACTATGGAATAATCATAATCAGTTTTATAGAAGACGAATTTTAAAAGACGAAATATATTTCTTTTGAACATGGTGTTGATATTATCCTCATCCTATACTTTTTCGTTCATTCCTTCCAAAATCACAAACCAGATCCCCTTGAATAGTGTATACGTACGCCCATGGTCAATTCAATGGCATTCGTCATAATTTCCCAAGAAGAAGAAGACGAACAAAATGTAGACTATGAACTAAGAAACAAGGAAGAAGAAGAACTATGGTTATGAAACTGAAGAAGATGTTGATTAACCATAAAAATATCGAAAGAAGAATGTAAATAAATACTTGTTTTTCGATAAATACTCATCGAAATGAGTGTAGAAGAACAAAAACTCGAGCAACAGCCTGTTTTCAAAGCATCATCGTTCCAACAGAACAAAAGTACGAAGAAAAAGAACGTTTGGAAGGGGTTGAAACAAATCATAACTTCCGAGAAGGCACTACCCTGGCCCGATGAAGTGGTGCACTACAGTTCCATCAACGCTCCACCTTCTTTCAAGCCTCCAGAAAAGTTTTCAGACCTTTCGGGGCTTCCTGCCCCCTACACAGACCCCCAAACAAGGTTGAGGTTTGCCAATAAGGATGAATATGCCACAATAGTTGATTTACCCATGGACATCACAGCTGGGTATTTGGCACTCAGAGGAGCCACAAGCATTGTTGGATGATCATACCTATTGATTCATATTGAAATTGGGAAAGTACCTATCTGAATTATTACTGAGGATGCTAGAGTTGTGATGTCATAAGGTAAGATTTCATGTAATAATAAAAATTCCAATGAAGTTGCATTTCTAGAATTGTGCTCTTCTCTATTCCTCTTCTCACCCTCACCTTCAGGACCTTCTTCCAAGATATAGGATTATAATATAAACTCCAATATAACAGTTGATGTTCAGTTATCAGATTATAATACACATAGATCAAAACTTCCCAAAACTTTGCCAAAATGAAAAATATTTCTGACAAGTGTTCATCAAAAAATGTGAATACCTACCTAAGAAAATGAATAACTACCTACTGAGTTACCTACCAACATAAACAACTTAATTCAATACATTTCTTTTAAGGAATTCTGTGAGAAATAAGAATTAGAACACTGATCGAATATTGTTATTATATGAATGAAAATAGCAAGAAAATAGGCTCTTTCTTTTGTAGAAGTGCATCACATTTCACACTTCCTGTAATTTACACCATATTTGAGCATTTTTTTGAGAAGTGCATTTCACACCAGTGTAGTTTATCTCCACCTGGTTTTGGGCAGGTGTGAATTACATATTATTACACTCAAATTTAAGAATGAATAAAATCATGATGAATGACTTGAAATGCATGTGTGATTCTATTCATGATATATATACACCTATGCTGGGAAACCTGTTAGATACATCAAATACCATTTTTAAAAATTCAAATTGCACTGTTTCTCTTCAATTCAATGTTCTTCTTTCCTTCAAAATTTGTTGGTATAGCTGCATAAAATATCTGCTGATTCATAGTGTAAAGCATTCTACATAACACTGAAAAGCAGAAAAAATAACCTTAATATAGGTACTGATTTTAGCATAATGGTATAATTTGAGTTTATTTTGAGGTTTCCATTTCTATCCTACTCTGTTAGTTTGCTTGGTGCTAATTCAATCTTGCTAAACCAAATCCTAAAGGACCATGAACATTTCTTAGATAAATGTGATTCTATAAAATATTTGCATTGCTTCAACCCCCAGAAATGAATGGTTTGAATTATTTATTCAATACTGAAAAAAATATTAGTTCGAATTTTTTCATTCCATTTAATTTCTTCTAATATATTTTTTATAAAACAAATATTGAGGAAGAATTATTATCTCCAACCTGTATTTTGAAAAACGAAAAAATAAAAAATTTTACCAAAATATATATAACAGAATTGACAATTATTCATGATCAGAGTTGTTCTGGAAATGTATCCAAAATGCCAGTTATTTGTTCCTGTACTAATAAAATATCTAAAGTGAAGACAATCAAATATCTTGGTATATACATTGATCAAAATTTGAAGTGGAATTATCATGAATTAACAAAGAAACTCAGAAGTACCCTTTCAAAATTTAGACTTTTGTGCCATATTGGCAGTTGACATTTAATAATCATGTTTTATCACACTCTCTTCCTATCTATATTATCATTATGGAATAATTGGATGGGGTGGTATGTATGAAACTCATCTAAAACCTTTATTATGTATTCAAAAATATGTTCTGAAAATAATATTCTGTAAATTCATATTGTATGAATCGATTATCAGTTTTCAGTTTTGGTATTCATATTGTAGAAAATCAATTTCATATTATGTAAAATAATTCATCTCTTTCACTCACAGGTCACTAACCCATGTGAAGGAGATACAATATGAAATATATATACATGTAATTGAAATTCCATGACAACATGTAGATTTTATGTGATTCAATTAATAAATAAATAAATGAATAAATAAATAAAATACCTTACTGTTATAGGAAATATTTCATCATGCAAAATTATCAGTACAATCTTTTTGCATTATTTTCCCCCACCAAATGAAAAAAAAGGTGGATTTTGCTGAATTTTTTTACATGTGATACTGTTAAAAAAATTATTTGATGACAAATCAATCATCATATGTTGTGAAATCCGAGTTATAAGTATACTAATAATAATCTAGACCATAATTTTGAAGCTCCCACTTTATCCCAGCCTTATCCTATCATTGATATTTTTGTTTCTGATTTTTTGTAAAAATTATGAGATCAACATAGAAGAACTCCAGCTATACAAGCTAGTATTCAAGGAATATCATCTTAACTCAACAGTTGGGCTGAAGAATTCCCCAGATTTCCATAAACAATCATAATAAATTGAGGAAGTAGTTGGGTTTGAGTTAATGCTCAAAAATCAAATAAAACTACCGAGATTTAACGCAATATATTTTATAAATTATTAAATATAACAATGTTACATAAAAACAATAATTTCAAATTTGTACTGTAAATTAACAGTTAGGTAATATAATTTCTTTCGTATTATTCATATTATATTTTTATAACATCAATATGTTAATGTACAATAGCAATATTTATGTCAACTTTATAAATATCATAAAATTTCATTCAAACTTGGATATGTTGAAAACTAAAAATTGATAGTAGATGTGATATAAGGATATGAGGTATAAGACATGCTTATTTTATTAATATTAGGTACATATGAATGCTGGTGATATTTGATGTCTATGTAATTCTATTATTAATTTACTTATTGTTTACAACAACAATAAATAACTCTGGGATTAATTATAAAAAACATATTTCCAACAAAATATAGGTTAGCACCAAATCAGTATAATTATGAATTCAATCTATTCATAAACAGTCAAATTTGGTGTTATTCCTTTTGGTTCAATGCTGATCCTATATAACAAAATTTTTATAACCTAATTTGAACCAGGAAATAATTGAGGAGAATCTTGAATCTAATTATCAATTGTGCTAAAAGAAGTCCTTAGCATGACCAAAAAGTATTTGTTCACATTGTCATGAAATTATAGGAATAAAGTAAGTTCTAGCATTCCACAAGGTTCAGTTTGGGGCCCCTTGCAGTTTTCAATCTATATTTGACGTGTGTTAGTTATTAACCTGATGTGTGTAAAACATCCAATGTCTCCAATGAAAACTCATATCACCTCATCAGTTGATGATTGAAAGTTGAATAATGAATTTCATTTTACTTTTTATGTGTTGATAGTAGATCCTTGAACTGAACTCCTTTCAATTGATTTCTGGTCCATTAAAGAAAGCAACAAGTGCATTCATGGGGTTTATTTATTTTAGCTATGAAATAGTCAACAAAAAAGTGAAGCCAAAATATCCAAATACATGAAGCATATTTATTCTTCACCCATATAAAAAGTACAAAACCCTAGACATATTTTACATGAAAAAAGTCCATTTCCAGAGTTCTGCTAGGATATTTTTTCAATGATATTATCAACATCAAAATTCAACGTAAAATGATGAATTAGCTCGCCTTTTAAAGGTATGTGAAACACTGACGTAGGACCAACCCTGTATATATATATATTTAAACCAGTTCTGAATTTTTCGAACTAATACTGAAAGACAAATTTTTAAAAATCTGTGATAGTGTATATAAGTTCATATGGAATCTAAATGTATTTAATATACTATATTGCTACATCTCTAAATTCCCTATAATTGATTCCAACGAGTACATTTTCCTCGGTCATTTTTCAATTGCAATTCGTCGCATTCACAGTAGTATCTCTTTGGGTCATCAAAAAATCCTTCATTATTTGTCTACATGCGAAATATCTTCCTAGAAAAACGTGATACCAGAATTTCTCCAAATAAACCGAATTGAGGTCTTATACACAGGTTCTCCAACTAAAATGAACTACACATTTATGTATTTGAAAGAAATGTCTTTAATTTGATATGCTTGAACAGATTTCACTTGTTCCCTCAATACTGAGAATTGTAACTATCAGGTACCTAATTTTCCAACCAAAATTGGGATTTTTGTGACAGTCAACAAGATTTGATTTGTTGATTTATACTATTCCACCACTGAAGACTCTATGTGTTGAATTATCTTCCAATTTCGACAAATAAAACGAAGTGATATTAGAAAAAAATCAAGGCCCACTGGCATGGTCCAATATAAACTCTTTGGACTTCTACTACAAAACTTTCTTCAACCTTGAAATTATGCCTGAATACAAGTTAGTGCTGTCATGGGTGGTACACGTTCTTTTCTATCGTGAATAAGGTTGGAACTGAAAAAAATTCAATTTTTCATCCTTGGTATATACCAAAGTATAGAGACTCTGAACTGATATAATAATAGTATTTGCCACATGTCAATACATAGTTTTCGCGCTCAACAATTGAAAATAAAGAAGGTACGAGACCTTTTCGATATCAACGCCAGTTTCTCCAACTAATCAAACTATCTGCGCTAGAAAAGTCTATTCAAGGAGTCGTGACTTTCATTCCTTGAATTTCCGCAACGACATTAAAGAAGTGAAACTGCAATATTTTTTCATTCAAATCAGTACATATTCTTCGTGCTTCACCATTGAAAATATGAGAAACTACGAGATATATCCGAAATCAACGCCACTTAGTCCAACACAACAAACTTTCTGCTTTGAGAAGCCTATTTTACGAGTAACGGGATCTTGTTGAAAACATTATTTCAGTAAAATATCTGCACTTTATAAGAAATCACTGAAAGTATTGTTTCGTCTCTCATTTGATATCCCAACAAATGATCTGTATGCGATAACAGAAAAATTTCATTGGATGAATTATATAAAATAGATTCTCTTAAAGTTTCATATAATATCATAAACAATAATCTGAAATCCGATTTTGTTTTGATAAGAAACTCAGAAATTCATGGTCATCACACGAGACAATCAAACTTATTTCATCTTGATTCTGCTACTTCTATAATTGGCCAAAAAAAATTTACTCACGCTGCTCTAACTGAATTCAATATATTACCACTTAATATAAAAAATTGCAGACACATTTCAAAATTTGAAATTGAATTAAAAAAACACATGATTTTATTACGAAATGGATAAAATTAATACTTTGCCATCTACTGATTAGTCCCTGTGGCTATTTTTATGACTTGATCGATTTAGCATTTTTGGATTTTTCAGTATTTTTTTTGTCGTTGTTGTCACCTTATATTATTTTATTATTGTTGTTTGTAATCAACTTCCTCATACCAGAATTCTATTTCTGACTGGAAGCTAGTTGCTCAATAAACAATAAACAATTCCTTGAACTTTCACGCTTTATAATGATTGAAAATAGAAACTACCAAATCTTTTCGATATCAACTCCAGTCAGTCCAACAGAATAAACTTCCTGCACCAAAACAATCTACTGTAGAAGTCACGACTTCCATTCCTTCAATTTCCGCAGCGACAATGATGACGTGAAACTGTAATATATATTTTTTTCTTCATTGTTCTCGCAAACTTTCTATGCTAACAAGGTGTACTTTCGGGACGACACTAGTTATTTGAAACTGCAATATTTTCTTCTTCAAATCAGTACATACTTTTCGCGATTTACAATTGAAAATAAAAGAAGCTACGAGATCTTTCCGATATCAACGCCAGCCAGTCCAGCACAACAAACAATCCACGCCGGAAAAGTCTACTCCACGAGTCACGACTTCCACTCCTTAAACTTCCGCAACGACACCTTCTTCAAGCGGGACATGATATCCGACTCTTTGCTCTCGTCCTCGCTCAGCGTTTCCCCCTCCGAATGCACCTCACGCACGGCCTCCGCCTTCCGACCTGCCGCCTTGGCGTCCGTCGCGTTACTGTCTACCGACAGCTTGCCGCCGCGAGTGGTCGTTTTCCCCCCCTCCGCCTGCCTGGTCTTCCACTTGGAAGTGGTGGGGTCGCTCAGCGCCACTTGCACGGGCATTTTCATGCTGCTGGAGGCGACGCTGCGCGCGACGTTCAGGCCACGGCTTATGCGGTCGAGGGTGGCTAAACGCAAGCTGGCCGTGATGCGGTTCTTGCGCAGGGAGGTGGGCGTGGCATTAGACCTGTTGCGATAAATCGTCAGTTATTAGAGTTAAATAAACTGGTGAACATTGATAACGTCGTGGTCCAAAATATAGCCTGAATTCAAAGTAGAACAACTCACGAATTTCCTTACCAATTTGAATTCGGTTTTCACCGATGATTAGCCCAATCTCTTGACAGTTTGTTGTGGCAATATGACACTTCTGTAATTTCAGATAACATTGCCTACAGGGTGATAATAAAATTGCATCGTGGTCGTCACCTTACCGTTTGAACAGATAATTTTTTAAATTTTTCTTCTCGCCTGTATCCTTTCGAAACGTTTTCGGAATTTTCAAATTCAGAGCTTTGTTATTCGTGTTATGAATATTCATTCAAAATTATGCATTTTTTCGACAATTAATTGAATGGAATTGGAAGGAATTCTTTTTTGAAGAATCAACGTATGTATAGTCGTCGGATATGTGATTGTGTTCGAACACAGAAAATTCTGAAGAAGTCTATACAAAGTGATACAGGAAATACTGAATGATGGAATGGAGAATAACGTAGTCTTCAGTAGATGAAACATAATTTTCTCTGTGTTACTAGTGAAATAATGGAGTGGTACTTCGTCACGAGGATGTCTGGTGTCTGACCTCGAAATATTTTTGTAATTTCTCCGATCGAAGGTCATATAATGAAGGCACGCATTTCTAATCAAAATGATGCATTTTTGTTAAGATAAATTATAAAATCATAAAAATTACGATAGCAGTTCCAGAAATATAAAATTCATATTCATTCTTGACGATGGATATACAAAGTGCGATAAACATACGTCCAGATTGTCCCGGGATGAAGAAGAATATGTTTAAACTTGATGAAAATCGCTATGTTCCGAAAAAGAGATATAGTGTCGGTCATTGTCGAAAATTGTGAAATGTATAAATACAGTAATTTTTCATGAGGTTTATACGTGGAAATATGAAGAGACCGCTGAATTGCCATAGAATCGATAAAATGTTTTTCCTACCAATAAAGATAAAAAACAGTTAGTCCTCATGAGGCTTATGCGAGGTAATATGAAAGAGACAGACACATCCTTAGGGGTGGTGATAGGGATCTCAATTTTTTTCAGCAAGATGAATGATTAATTACCCTCATTTTTTTACTATTGTGAAAATTTCTCATTCCGGATAGTTCCGGAAGAAAAAAATGTTTTCTTAAATAGTGCTGACAGATAGCAATACTCACCTCTCCTGCAGTATGAACCTTCCGATCGTCTGCCAGTGCGACTGCGCGCTATACACGTTCTCGTAATCGGCGAGAGCACGCTGTTGGCAGTTGTGCCCCGCTCCACCCCACTCCAGTTCCTCCACGATGGCGAAGTTCATCGGATCTTCGAGCCTGCGCGCCTTGACCAGCGCCTGCGCGAGAACGTCTTGCGCGCACGCGTCCAGAGGCACCTAATATACATAAATGAAGAAACAAATAAATTTTCTTCGAAAGAGCGCACTATCTGATAAATACTTTCAAAATTTCCTTTGATATTATCAACAAACTCCTCAAATCTAACTTCATATTGGTAAGGAATTCTCAAATCCGTGATCATACTAGACAATATGACTTGTTTCATCTTGATGCTGCTAATTCTACACTTGGTCAAAAATAGTTCACTCACGGAGCTATCTCAAAATTCAATAAATAACCTGATGATATCGAAAGTTGCACAAATATCACCCAATTCAAACTCAAAGTCAAGAAACATATCCTCTTGCAAAGAGAAAATCAAACCTGAGGGAATGATTTCTCATTCACTAATTTATTTCATCATGTCATAATTTACTTTTGATGAGCTTTTTGTTTTATTATTATTATTTTTTTGATTCTGTTGTTCATTTCAATAACTCTAATTTAATTTAATTACGCATGAATAATATCATACCAGATATGAATCTGTCTGATTATTCATGTTATTCCATTGTAAATGTTAATGATTATATTTATATTTATATGAGATGCAATGTAATGTTATAGCAAAGAATGAAATAAATATTTCTACGTTTTTTAAAAAAGGTCATTAATTTTCTCGTTTTATTTGTAAACGTCATTCTGTTCCCACCACCGCTACCAGAATGGAACAAATAGTTGCGTCATTTGTTCCATTCTGGTAACGGTGGTGGAAACAGAATGATGTTTACTAATAAAACTTCATGGCCTCGCATGAAAGAATTGACATATTATTATAGATTATGGAGAGTATACTTATTTATATATTCGGGCTTCGAATTATTTCAATATCATAATACTACATTCAAGAATCAAGAAAATGAATAGAACAAATCGATGCATACTTGGAGAAGTGATTGTGGTGCTTGGAGGAAGTTCTCTGAGATCGAGATAATTCATTTTATCTGGGAATGAAGATAATTATGAAACCTGTATTACTTTAAAGAATCATAAACTTGTGAACCTCAGGAAGAAAATATCTTCTAAATGTCTTCTACTTCCATAAAGTTTCGTTTTTCGTCAATCTGATTTCATTTTTTGACAACTGTCAACAGTCAGTCCACGTCATTCCTTGAAATGAGACGGAATGAAAAGTAGCAACCGGAATCGGTAAAGTTGCAGATAAAACGACACGTTGAGGTGATTCCGGTGGCGGATTCGGATAAAAAAACGCAACAAATAAAACGCAACTGTTACCTTGAGGATGGCGTACGGGATCTGCGGCGACACGTTGTAGATGCACACGAGGAAGGTGTCGTTCTCCTCCCACGCGTTGCTCGGCGCCCCCTCGGCTCGCCTCGCTTCCCGTTCGCGACTCGCCACGCTGCGGATCGAGGACAGCCATGCGCGGCTGCTCGGGTCGTCGCCCATGCGCTTGAGGATGAAGCGGCCCTCGCCCTTCCATTGGGACTGCGCCTGAGAAACATTCGAATCATCAGAGCCTAGTCATATATAGGTCGCGTGCACGATGACCGACCCTGGAGGCAAAATATTGAAACACAACCTCACTCTTCTGTGAATTATTGAAACACAACCTCACTTTTTTATTTGTTTACAGAGGAATCAAAAGGTTGAAATAGTTTTTCACAATATTTTGGCATACGAATCGTGTTTCTTGCGTTATTCATTAATTCAAGCATGCCTTCGCATTGTGCTGTTGTACAATGCACAAAAAATGCAGCAAGAGACTAGGGAATATGATTTTTCAGGTAAATAGTAATGTCACATAGTTATCATTATGAAATGTTGTCATTCCTTATTAAAATTCCTTCTGCCTTCTGCCACTTCTGCAATACAAGCTGATACTGCTAATAGATTGAAAATGACACGATCGTCAGCATGTCAGACCAGTCCTCCCGATTGATTGCATGAATCCAATCTTCTTGCATTATTCTAGAAATTTCAGGTATATTCCTATTAGCTCCTATTGCAGAAGGAATTCCGATGAGAAATCAGAGAAATCACCAAATTTCAAAAATGAAAACTATATGTGAGTGACTATAATGGTAGGTACTTACTTTTAAATCATAATGTACCATCCGGATTCCTTCATCTTCCGCTGCAGTTTTTGTGCATTTTACAACAGCACAATGTGATGGCACGAGCGAATTGATGAATAGCGGAAAAATACGATTCGTATGCCAAAATGTGAAAAACTATTTCGATCACTTGTAAACAAATAAGTGAAGTGACGTTGTGTTTCAATGTTTTGCCTCCAGCGTCGGTCATCTGACAGTTCTTGCACGCAACCTATAGGTCGCGTGCACGAAGACCGACCCTGGAGGCAAAATATTGAAACACAACCTCATTCTTCTGTGAATTATTGAAACACAACCTCACTTTTTTTATTTGGTTACAGAGGAATCAAAAGGTTGAAAATGTTGAAATAGTTTTTCACAATATTTCGGCATACGAATCGTGTTTCTTGCGTTATTCATTAATTCAAGCATGCCTTCGCATTGTGCTGTTGTACAATGCACAAAAAATGCAGCAAGAGACTAGGGAATATGATTTTTCAGGTAAATAGTAATCTCACATAGTTATCATTATGAAATGTTGTCATTCCTTATTAAAATTCCTTCTGCCTTCTGCCACTTCTGCAATACAAGCTGATGCTGCTATAATAGATTGAAAATGCCTACAACACACACGATCGTCAGCATGTCAGACCAGTCCTACCGATTGATTGCATGAATCCAATCTTCTTGCATTATTCTAGAAATTTCAGGTATATTTCTATTAGATGATCCTATTGCAGAAGGAATTCCGATGAGAAATCAGAGAAATAACCAAATTTCAAAAAATGAAAACTATGTGAGTGACTATAGTAGGTACTTACTTTTGAATCATAATGTAGCATCCGGATTTCTTCATCTTCCGCTGCAGTTTTTGTGCATTTTACAACAGCACAATGTGATGGCATTAGGGAATTGATGAATAGCGGAAAAATACGATTCATATGCCAAAATAATTGTGGAAAACTATTTCGATCACTTGTAAACAAATATGTTTTGCCTCCAGGGTCGGTTATCTGACAGTTCTTGCACGCGACCTATAGATACGTAGGTTATGTAGGTAACCTAGAAATAAATTCATGGCATATTCGTAGCTTACTTGTAAAGGCCTTTCATGCAGATCCAGAATCCGTTGAGTCGATGGTAAATTGTGGTCTTTTTTCTCCCATCCCCTGGCTACTTCTTCCACCAAGATATAATCATTTATTTTGTGCGGACTGATCCCGGCTTTTTGCACGCAGAGCAGCAGAACGTCTTGAGTCGTACTTTCTTGGGTTATCTTCAAGATCGTGTAAGGTTCTTCAGATACCACCCCGTAAACCATGAGAAAGAACATGCGGCGTTTGACGCACAAGGGCGTACCAGAGATACCTAAAATCAGATTCAAAATTGACTAAGTCATGGAAACCATTCATCCTTCTCAAAGTGGTCCAGATTTTTTCAAAGGAATAAACACAAACACTAAGTCTGTCGACCACAAAGTTTGATTACAAAAGTTTTTGTGACTAGTTTCGGCTCAAGCAGCCATCTTCAGACACAATATATAGTACCTGTAAAGATATTGGTTTACAAGAATAAAATGACATATTGAGGAAAAGACATACCTATAAAAGGACACGTAGAATCACATAATTAATTAATTTTGAACGAAACCACATTTTTCGCACACTTAAATTCTCATGACCACTTTTTTATCTTGCATTTTTACCTAAGCCGACCCTGTTCCATTTTGTTCACTTTCCTGAGTTCTTCTTCTTCTGGGTTAGATCACAATTACTACACCGTGACACTTCTTCTGTTTTCTTGGATTACATATCATTCGGCCTTACCACTTATCTCTCCTTTAGGTTTTTTAGACATAATGAATCTTGTAATTAATTCATTTTTCAGAATTCAACTGCAACATTATCATAACTCAAAATTGTAATCTTATATTGTGCATGTCATTTGAGTTGTTATCAAATGTCACTGTCATTTGTCCTGTAATTCTGTCAACGTCTGTTGCTATGCTTGACATTTCGTTGCCTTCTCCTTGGCTTTTGTCTTTCTCAAAAAAACGGCCATTTTAAGATGAAACTCATGTGAGTGAATTTACTGCTGGTTTTTCCAATTTTTGCCAATGTTGAATCTAATCATTATTAGGTTCTTTTGGCTGTTCAGTCGGTTCAAAAGAATATCAATTTTTTCACCGGATTGAATTTTGGCCAAATGACCCTTGCTATTCATATTTCAATTAATTTAATTATGTGATCCCACGTGTCCTTTTATAGGTATGTTTTTTCCTCAATATGCCATTTTATTCTTGTAAACCAATATCTTTACAGGTACTATATATTGTGTCTGAAGATGGCTGCTTGAGCCGAAACTAGTCACAAAAACTTTTGTAATTAAACTTTGTGGTCGACCGACTTAGTGTTTGTGTTTTTTCCTTTGTCAAAATTGACTCTTGAAGAATATACCGGGTGTTTCTCAAAAGTGGCTCACCCCTATAAATTTTCAGTTTATACAGATAAACAAATGAAATTCGGTGTGCAAGTATGGTACATAAATATGAATTATTTGGCGTATTAAATCGTTTTCTGTCACTTCCGGTTTGACCAGAAGTAACCCAAATCATCTTATTTCAAATGGAACACCCTGATGTATATTTTTATATATTTCTTTAGAGAATAACATTCTCAGTACAATGACACCCCATTTGCCACTTGTTGACATTTATCGTCATGAAATTATCGTCATGAAAGAAAACATGGATCATTTCCTGTCAAACCGGAAGTGACAGAAAACAATTGAATACGTCAAATAATGCATATTTGTTTACGATTACACACCGAATTTCATTTGTTTATTTATAGAACCAACAAAGTTATAGGGGTGAGCCCCTTTTGAGAAACACCCGGTATATAATGTAGGTTTCGCTCACCTAGGAATGTACCATATTTCCCAGAAGATTCGGTCGCTTCCACCTCTTGCGTCTGAGCTCGCTCCGTGATTCCATCCCCACTTTCCGGATTCTCCAGACTTTCTTCCTCCACCCTAGAGTAAATGAACAAAGTCGACATCTTCAAGTTTTTGTTCTGAGTTGATCTGAGACGCACATGACGATATCCCGGCCTGAGACATCGCAACGGCAATATCCTCTGGGCCAGCAGGTGATTGGTGGACGCTTCCAAAATGGCGAACCTCAGGAAAGCCAAGTCTTGGAACATCACCCGGAAGTGGAAGGTGTCGTTCCATATGGGGTTCAAGGCGTTTTTCTGCACTATTTTCGTTTTCTGCTTGTTGCAGTCCACTTGGATGCCGATTATCTCGACTTCGACGTACGTGCTGATGTTCACGCTGCTTTGGCCGACATATTGGCCGGATACGATGTTTATGACTATTTGGGATGAGTGGATTCCATCGAATTCCTGTTTGAATAAATAATCACATGTTCCACTCAATAAAGAAAATAAACTACTCAACACTAATTTCGTCGCACACCAAAATGTCGCCCCTGTTATAATGTGAATAACTTTTTTCAGTTCAGAACAATTTGAATTTGGTTCACACCGTTCGATAGCCCAGTCCTTCAGCAATAATCTCGTACTTCATTGAAACATAAGGGTATTCACATAAAATATCTACATGGTGTTTTCCGACACTGTGCAAAATTTCGGAATATTCAAAAGGCTCTCAAATGGTGAAAACATTTTTTTTCTCAACTTCGACAACAGAGGCATGAAGATGATCTCATTACCTCGAGATGTTTCGCGAATCAACTTCCTATCTCTCTTATTTACAGAGTGATCTCAAAAAATCAACTTTTTGGTTTTGCAGTCATAACTTTTTTCCACGTCAACCGATTTTAGAAATCTTAGGTTCATTTTGAAGATAAAACTTCAGATGAGGAGATCTGAATATCAGAATTGACTCAAGATGGCTATCAGAGATCTAGAGTTTTCTTGAAAGTGACCCAAATCTGGAACGCCCTCCGAATCTCGGTTGGGAGGAGAATTGAATGAAAATCAACTTGTTCTCGGAAAAACAATTCATTCTGGATGCGTCCATATTTTCCTCGCTCTCAGTAGTCAAGAAAGTGCGAGAGAAAAATAAATACAATTGAAACATGTTCTTGCAGAAACATCAGATAATTTCTCCTCTGTAATGCATGGCCCGTAACCAACGTTACAGAAATCATAGTAAGTGGCTGACAAGTCAGGTTAGACGTCGTTTTCGAATTATAAACAGATTTCGATAGTTTCGATGCCGCATCTAACGCGAATGTGGGTGACAACTTTGTTCTCGTTGATGACAATGCGAGACCGCATAGGGTTGTTGGTACATCATTTATGATGAGCCTTGGCTGGTCGAGTTTGTCAGTCCATTGTGATTCTTGTAACGTTGGTTACGGGCCATGCATTACAGATGAGAAATGATCTGATGTTTTTGCAAGAACATGTTTCAATTGTGTTATCTCACGCACAATTCTCGACTACTGAGAGCGAGGAAAATATGGACGCATCCAGAATGAATTGTTTTTCCGAGAACAAGTTGATTTTCATTCAATTGTCCTCCCCTGAGATTCGGAGGGCGTTCCAGATTTGGGTCACTTTCAAGAAAACTCCAGATCTCTGATAGCCATCTTGAGTCAATTCTGATATCCAGATCTCTTCATCTGAAATTTTATCTTCAAAATGATCCTGAGATTTCTAAAATCGGTTGACGTGGAAAAAAGTTATGACTGCAAAACCAAAAAGTTGATTTTTTGAGATCACTCTGTAAATAAGAGAGATAGGAAGTTGATTCGCGAAACATCTAGAGGTAATGAGATCATCTTCATGCCTCTGTTGTCGAAGTTGAGAAATTTTTTTTTTCACCATTTGAGAGCCTTTTGAATATTCCGAAATTTTGCACAGTGTCGGAAAACACCATGTAGAGATTTTATGTGAATACCCTTATGTTTCAATGAAGTACGAGATTATAGCTAAAGGACTGGGCTATCGAACAGTGTGAACCAAATTCAAATTGTTCTAAACTGAAAAAAGTTGTTCACATTATAACAGGGGCGACATTTTGGTGTGCGACGAAATTATATAGTGTTGAGTAGTTTAGTTTGATTTTTGATAATACTTTCACTAGGTACTTTATTAATCCAGTAACTTTATACATCACAGTATGCGTCAAATCCAGTAGTTCTGATTTTTTGTAGACTTGTTCATGATGTTGACCTAATGAATAATCCGAGTTTGTGACCTTGAGCGCCGAACGCAACTTTGTCAAAAATCGAAAAAACTGCGACAAAATAGTTTTTTTTTCAGTTTTTGGCGATTATAACCCTTAAGGACTAGTTTTTGAAAACAACTCTTTGAGAACGTTTTTAAAGTAGACCAAATTTGCTACAATCTGATATAAAAACTGTCTCTGTAGACTCATTAGTTTCCGAGATTGAGCCTTTCGAAGTTTATAATTTTTGTCGAACTTCGCAATTTTTTGCAATCCTGTCATTCTGATTGAATTTCGACCCTTATTATACAATCGAAGCCCTGTACTTTCATGATGATAAGAAAGAAAATGAGGAGTGTGAACGAGGATGTTCAAGCTGAGCTTCGAATAATGAAATAAAAAAGATAAGTACGGAAACAGAGTAATATTAAAGATAAAAAAATTAGGTTAATTTAGCCCGGTTGAGGTTCGTCTGGATCTGGATCGACGTATTGGGATGGCATATCCCCATCAGGGGATGGTGATGAATCTTTTGCCCACAAGTCATCCTCCATTTCAACATCGGACAGATCGTCGCCTTCTGGAAATTCTACTACTACAACATCAGGTACATTGTCACAAGAGACCCCACTGCAGTGCCTGCAGACTGATGATCATTTAAATCCAGACTTCCTGCAGCTGCACGCGTTCCCACAACCCTTCGTGCAGCTGCAAGAAATCATCCGCAAGAGGTGTTGTGGGGCTGCATCTCTGGACATCATTTAGGGATTGAGGCCTCGTGGCGTGGATATCCACCCCCAGGAGATAGGGTTCAGTGGCTTGGGTTGCCTAAAAAGTTTGAAAACGTGCAACAGGTGTGTCGCATTCGTGACTTTACACGAAGAGTACTAGCACACTCCGTCGGAGGTAGTTGAAACTTCATCCCGCTAGAGTATTCTTAGAGTATTCTTAGAAGTAAAATTGGAAGCAATTGGTATCCGTGGACCAATAAAATCTTGGCTAATATCATATATCAGTGGCAGAACATTAAAAGTCAAAGTGGATAATGAGATCTCAGATCCATATGATCTTATATTAGGCACCCCACAAGGAGGGACCCTAGGTCCATTACTATTCCTTCTGTATGTAAATGACCTCCCTCAACATATACAAGATGGTAAAATCTTCATATATGCAGATGATACAACAATAATGGTATCCGCAGATACGATAGAAGAACTTGAACGGAAGGTGGATTTAGTCATAAACAATTTCAATCAATGGTGCGAAAGAAACCACCTCATAAATAATATCAAAAAAACAGTTTGCATCGAATTTACAAGTCAACGTAAGACAACAAATAATTCTCTAAATTTCAAAGTGAACAATACAGAAATCATGACGAGTCAATGCACAAAATTTCTAGGAACACAACTAGACCACAAACTAAATCTCGAAAATCAAATAGACGACATATGCAAAAAACTAAATAGAACCTATTTCGCTTTCAAAACCCTCAAAAACAACTTCTACAGAAATCATCTGGTAAATATTTATTATTCACTAGTATACTCACAAATATGTTGCAATGAGCAACCGAGATATCAAGAGTATTAATAATCCAAAAAAGATTCATCAGACTTATATTTGACCTGAATTATGACGAGTCATGTAAAGAAACCTTCCAAAATAATAAGTTTTTAACAGTAACTTGTATATATATATACAAACTTCTCACATACACGTTTCAGAACCTACACAAGTATAACAAAAATGAAGATATCCACCCCACAAAAAATAGCGACGACATACATTTGAGTCGTTTCCATAAATATCAATATAGAAAGTCACCAATCTATGCCGGAGGCCAATTATTCAATGCCCTTCCAAGAAAGATAAAAGACACCAAAGATGCAAAAAAATTCAAGAATAATCTGAAAAAATATCTTACCAAAAATTCGTTTTATTCCCTAGACGAATATATAGAAAAATGTAAAGAAGAAAGTTAGATCATTTTTTTTTAAGCTGTGCTGTCCTTTTGAATTGTCAAATTTTCAACTTGAAATTCAGTATGTTATTTATTCATATTTTTGAGCTGTCCTGTTCCACTCTTTTTGTATAATTGATTGTGAAAGTTAAACTTATAACTACTATAGCTTTCTAAAACTGACTTATCCAATGTCATGTAAAAATGATTTTTGAAGGATGAATAAAAAGTAAGTAAGTAATAAGTATATTCGAGTGACGCCTAAAACATTGCAAATAATTGCGAAGTTCGAAAAAAACCATAAACTTTGAAAGGTTTGATCTCGAAAATCGTTTATACGAGTCTATGCATAGATTTCGGGAGGATGTAATTCAATGTTCTGCGTGGTATTAGCCAGGAAAGTAGTTGTTTTTCTACCGAAATCTACCATTGTTGTTCATTTCATGAACATTGTGAGGAAATGACTGAGCTTTTTGTATTTATTTATTGTGCCTTTAGTCATTGGGGAATGAAAAACAGATCATTTATAAAAATATGCATTTTGTTACCTTATCCCAAGGATTGAATCTCCTGTACATGACATGGGACCTATCCCACATCACGTTCGGTTTGCTGACGTAGCCGCAGTTGCCGTTGATTTCGAACAGGGTGTTGTTGAGTTGCATGGCCGTATCTTCCGTCTGGTAGTTGAGGGCGGACATTTGTATGCCGAACGACCAGAATATCACCGGATTGAAGTTCGAGGAGTCTATCCTCATTCCGGCCGGATAAGTCCTCATGAGTTGGGTTTGGGTATGCGCTACGAGGGCTAAGGGCTGCTTCCTGAGTACAAGAAGTCAATTAGTTTTCTACTACTTCTCTAACAGAAGAAAAGAACTAACTCTAAGTCGGTCGATCACAATATTAAATATAAAAACAATCAGCGTGTGACTATAGTTTGGCTCTACGGCCATCTTCAGACAGAATCAAAAAAGTATGTAGAAAACATCTTAACATAATGAAAATTGATTATCTGGTCGTTATAACAAAGTATCATCCAGCCTCGCACTCAACAAAATTCGTAACGGTTAAAAAGCCAAAAGAACTTGACTATAAGACTATAAACAAATATGTTTTTTGGGGTAATGAAGACAATCAATCAATTAGAATCTTCCGGTGAAATTTCAATTCGAAAATTTTCGCAAATTAGTACATAAAGCCATAATCGATGATACTGATACTTCCATCGGGTGGGTTTCTTGAATTTTGGAAAATATAGAAATATACAAGGTGTGTGGAAATCCAGTTTCAAGATTTCAGGGACTCATTATCCAGGTCAGAATTTTGCTTTTTTCACATAAATATGTGTTTGCAAACGTTTCGTTACCGATCTACAGAGCGTTAAAATTTCAAGATATTTCAATTTCCAGCACCCTTCATAGAAAGTCGAGGTTCTTTAGGATTCTCATTCTTAAGGTAAATGTTTGGGAACTTGTAATTGAGATCACGAACTATAAAGGTAGCGTTTTTTGTTTTTATTATGATCATAATATAGGTTCCTCCCTTTTGTTGAAAATTTCAACAAAATCAAGCCAATTATAAAAAAATATATTCACAGAGATGCATAAAAATCACATGAGACAAAAATATTGTAATTCGAAACTGCTTGTATAGTGATCCAATCTTCAAAAACTGTCAGTTGCTAATACCATCGAGGTCTTCATATGCAGGGTGAGTCAGTATAAGACCGACTAACTTCGTATACGGATTCATAACCTCATTGTGAGGTCAAAACTTTCCACCAACGTGTCCTACAATGCATCCTCTATGAGATACAAGGTGTCAAAAATACGAGAAAAAAAAAATTTATATTGATTTCTGCGGAAACCCTGTAGAAGAAATGTCAAACTTGATATACCATTCCAGAATAATCAACATTGAATTTTATCAACCAATGGCGTAGTTACGATCGTATATGTCGCCACCTTTTCTTTCAAATTTTTTCATAGATAGATGAAATGTCGAATTGGTCATGATATCAGTTAGGCTCATCGATATCTGACCTAAAAGTAATATCATTCCACATGCGTAAATGTGGAGGTTCCTGAGATATTTGCGAAAAACTAATGATATGCCTTGAGGTTATTGAGTAGAGACCCTAAGCTAAGTCTTCTAGTGCAACCTGTTTGAGAATTGAGATACTAGTTGTTGAATGTATGAAAACCGATGAGCATTACAATATTTTTTTTGAACACGTATTAGACGTATCAATATCAAAAACCTAGAAACATATCTTTAATTTTTTGCGAATATCTCAGGGACCTATACATTTAGGCACATGAAATAAAATGACTTTTATGTGGAGTAATGAGCCTAATCAATGCCATGCACCAATTTGACATTTCATCTATCTATAAAAAATATGAGAGAAAATGTGGCGACATATACGACCGTGATTACGCCACTAGTTCATAAAATTCAATACTGATAACTAGTAATCACCTTGAATAATCTGGAATAGTATACCAAGTTCAAATTTTTTTCTCATAGGGGTTCTGAAGAAATTCATATAAATCTCAGTTTCTTTGGTACTTCTGACACCCTGTATTTCAGAGATTGGATGCATTTTAGGACATATGTTGATAGGAATTTTTCATCTCAAAATGAGGTTAGGAATCCGCATACGAAGTTTGTCGGTCTTATGCTGACTCACCCTGTATATATAGCTAGAATGGCATTTTTTCCCTGAAAACAAAAACTGCGGTAGTCGATGGATTCGAGGGATCAAAAATTACCTTTTCCTCGAGGTGCACCCTAATAAATCCTCTACTCTGATTACGTTATCGCATTTCACACTGTTTTTATTACGATCGAGGTCTTCATCAAGGTGTATACCCAAAATCGCACATTTTTCCTAAAGAACTGAGAATTTATAAGTGTCGTTGGATTGAAGGGCGCAACAACTGATCCTTGAGGTGAACCCATTTCAATAAATCGTCTACTCTGATTACGTGATTGCATTTCACACTGTTTTTATTACGATCGAGGTCTTCATCAAGGTGTATACCTAAAATCGCACATTTTTCCTACAGAACTGAGAATTTATGGGTGTCGTTGGATTGAATGGCCCAACAACTGATCCTTGGGGTGTACCCATTTCAACAAATCTTCACAATGATCGTAATCGCATTTAGTATTGTTTTTACCTGCAAAGTTTCTTAGCAGTGTTTTCGTTGATGGAAGAGCACTGATAACATGGCAAGTTGACGTTCGGTCGTGCCTTCTGCACTTCCGATTCAAAGATGGCGGTGTCGGGATCGCTGCTGGTGCCGGAACTGACGTTGGAAGCCGAACTGATACCGGAAGTGGCGCTCGAGCTCACTGAGCAGGTGATGGCCTTCTGGCGTTGCTTGACTGAGCTACTGGGCGATATGGTGTTCAGGCCTCGGAATTTGATCGCCTGAAATTCAGTGGTAGCAGTAGCAATAATAGCAGTATTTAAAAAAAAATAAAGTTGATGATGGTTTCTCTCTCGTTTTGATATCGTTAAATATTTATTGACCAATGTACATTTGTTTTTTATCCTCACTGCAAGGTTTACTTTGTGAGGTTTTTCCCAGTTTATTCAAAATACCTATATCTGTATGTTCCATTGTATATTTCGTTAACGTTTTTGAATATACTTATATTATTATCATTATTATCAATAATAGCTTAAGAGACAGGACGTAAAAGGAGAGAAGGCGCAACAAATATTCCGTGCGGAAACATCTTGATCGTGATCTTAATTCTTGATCCGTTTTCGGCATATTCTGATTTTGTTCAAATTTGAAATAGGAATATTATAAATTCTCACGGATGATAATGTACAAGAACATTAGTAGTTTATTAAGCAGGTATTGATATTATATTAGGTAGTTGAGTGAGTTTATTTTGCTCTGATTATGCCCTGACCATGCTGCGATGTGTGAGGATTATTTGAAAATCCGAATATTCGTTTCATTTTATGTACCAAAAGTGAGTAAATGAACACAGAATTTTTATTGAGTTAGGACTTCGTGTCGTTCATGTATTCACCACTGAAAGTCGAAAATATAACGCACCGTTTCCATTTACACAAAAAGATTCTCCCACGCCTCGCTATTTTTACAAAGTAGACGATATCGAGAGATTTCGAAACTCCTTTCAATAAGAAGTGATAACACCATTTGGCTTTCTATGCATCTATGTCGAAATGTCATTCGTTAGAAAACAGGAGTTTTCGGCTCAATAACAATTCATGGAAAATGGTTTAGTCTCATAATGGTTATTATGTAGATATATCTTTATGTTTGTCAAGATACTTATGAGGAGTCTGACAACCGCCATGAAATATTATTTACAAAGTGCCATCAAAGTTCACGACTTATTCGTTGCCAAGGTTAGGGTCACAATATGTCTGGAAAGTTCCCTAAAGTCCATAATGACAACTCAAAAACCCCATTCACTGTTTTTCTTCTAAACTTTGTGCCCAAGGATTATAATTAAAAGACACAGCAGGCGAAGTACAAAAGTAGGATAGTTTTAGTTGTTGTTTGGCCATGACTCCTTTTTAGTATTTCTTGAAAGTATAATATTGATAAACAGCCTTCATGATACCGTGTGTGAGAAAAACAAATATTCATCGAATTTGAACCAATTTCGTCACTCTAGCTATCTTTCATACAGTGCTTTCGTGAAGTATGGGTACAGAATAATTCGCTGAACTATATCCATATCTATTTTGGCTGAACATGAATTTGCAGTACTATACGAACTAAGCACTGTAGGTATACAAATTGTTACTAAAGGTACCTGAAACAAAGTGGAAATACTGGCTTAAACAAAAACTGTCAAATAATCCCTATGGTTTTACCTGAACATAAATAACCATATCTGACAGTTCCTTGGAAATTTGACTGCTCTTCTTCCTTAGCTTATCTTCTGGCATTCCTCGCTTCTGCGAACTTGTTTTTGACACTGCGTGTGACACTCCATATGGCCTTGGAGAATCAAAAACGTGAAGAGGCTTGTCTGTAAGAAAATACTGAAAAAATTATCTGGATCAAAGATGGTTTTTTGCTTTTCTTTCATAATTCAGAAGGCGCTTTCGATAATTTTCCACACGTGCCTATACAGTTTTCATTGTATTCTCATTTTATATCAACTAACACTCCAGTTCCATAAAATGCTTCATTCATGTGACATTCCTGGTCTGTGACGAAAAGCATACTTATGAAACATCATCAACCGCAAGCCAAGCCAATCTCTTCAGTACTTTCACAGCCTAAGGTACTGTATGTACTTTATGTATTGGGGCAAAGACCCAAGATTAAGCTTTATAAATGAAAGAGTTTTGATATATAGTCATTCGACAAATATGGAGGCTCACGACAAAGGTGTGTATTGTCGTAGCTTACCGAATTCAGGATTACTGCAATACTGCCAGCATAGGCAAGGGGACTATTTTTTTCATTTCCTAAATAGAATAATCACTCGAATACCTTTCAATTCCATACTTTTTTAGAATTTTTCGTTCGATTTTGAGGTGCTAAAATCAACAATATATAATGTCACGGTAATTTCCAAATGGCTAAAAATTCACCGCGAATAAAAACTGACGTCACGATTCCGTAAGTAGGAACAGTTGCCATATGTTGAGATACGATTGGAACTTCAGAAATTCCAATTATTCGATCATTCATGAATTCTCAATTTTGTATTGGTTATATTCCTAATAATACATAAAAAATCAATTCTATTCTATTCCCTCATCTTTTGTGGCTTTATTGCTAATAATACATTTGTGTTTATAATAATATAATATGAATTCAAATGCACTACAGAACATTTGGGGGTAAACGTGATAACATGATATCATGAACTGTGGACGGTGCCTTGTCAGTACTCAGCATTCAGCACATTGTTGCCAAGTCTTCAACATGAACATGATATTTTGTTATGGAGTATAAGAGATATTCAGACATGCTGGTTGCTCGAAAAAGTAAAGAATGAACTATTATATCATGGCTTCCTTATATTATGTTGCATTCCGTGTTTCATTCAACGACAGGACTATAATCTTTTCGAAATATTGATTATAATTGGTGACTTGACAACATTGCTTCATGGGTGGAAATGGAAGATTAACTGACCCAATAATGAAACTACTAGAAAAGCTTTACCACCAGGCCCAGCCAATTAGAGGCAAGCATTTGGTTGGAGGTCACGCCCACTAACCGCAAGCTACGTCCGGCTCCGACAAGCGATCACGGAACACAGAAACATTACGGAATACCACGTATCAGTGTTCCGTGACGTTTCCGTGACATTCCGTGGCGTTTCCGTGACGTTTCCGTCATATTTATGTGGTGTTCCGTGATCGATCGTCGGAGCCGGAAGTAGCTGGCGGGCGTGACCTCCAACCAAATGCTGGCTTCTGATTGGCTGGGCCTGGTGCCCGTATAGCTCTTCTGACGAGATACAAACGGCATGGTTCGGTTCGGTTCCTGTTCGGCTACAATCGTGCTGACGCCTCGTGTCGTTTGTGCCGCCTAAACAAGAAATGCTGTGATTGGTAGAATTTCGTAGACACCAAATTCGAATAAGGAAATGCAATTTTTCGTTGGGAGAGATTATTTTCTATCATAATGAATCGGATGAAACAACATATTTAGATGAAGTTCAGCGAGAATAACAAGAGTTGTGTATTTCACGAGTTTTGAAGACCACATATTGACATCCATAAGACGTCCAAAAGTTGCTGTCCACGTGACGTCAGAAAAAAGACGTCTTTTTGACGTCATAGTTTGGTCTTATGACGAAAGGGACCAAAAATGACTCAAAATAGACGTCATTTTCGTCAGTGTTGCTACCTGGGGGGCAACAGATGATACAGGAGATGATACTCACCGTCTATATTGTCCTCGTCGTCCTCATCATCGTACTCATCGTCACTGAAATCGTCGTTGAAGGAGCTGCTGCTGGTGTTGCTGATGATGGAACTGGTCCTGCCTGGCACCGAGTGCCTGATGCCGCCTCCAGTGCCTGGTCTCATCGAGGCCGAGGCGGCCAAGCTCAAAGGGGCGGGCACCTCCATCACCAGCTTCTTGTTCTTGATCAGGACGCGGTTCCTGAGCTGCTCGGGGGACGGTAAGCAAGGCTCGTCGCCGTAGTCTGAGTCGAACAGGAAGCTGGTCACCAGTTTCTCCCCGAATATCCTCTGGAATAAAATGTCTAACTGAAGAAGTGGACGTTGTTGTGAATTTATTTATTCATTGATTTATCTATTTATCTACATGACTAGGGTACTCAACATGAAGTGACTCCTCAATTAGATAGAGTAATGTTACGCCACTGTAACAACAGAATTATAAGATCTAACGCATCTGATGAATGGTGTAGTAAGTATGCCTTCGTTGAGCTTTGGCCCACCACGAACAATGGTCTATTCCTAACAAAGTACTGTGTGCAGTGGAAGTTGAGACTACTGAAAAGGGACGACGTATCGACTGAATTATTGACAATTTTATAAAGCATGCATATATCTAGGAATTTCGGTCTGTTTATCTATTTTATAGTGTAGGTGCGTAGAAGTTTATAGTAACTTTCGATATATTATATATTGTATTGACGTGATGTTGGGTTCTGATGACTACAAGATAGTATCAATATATTGATTATAAATGAAACTTGTATGGAGGCAATACTGTTGGAATCATTCTACATCAGATAGTTATTGTTACATATATATAGTTTTTCTAATTCTCTTCACATGAGAGATGGCGACGATGTTGATCGTATCTTAAGTTCAGGATGCTCACTATTTTTTGAACTGTTTCAATACGATGAAAATGTACATTATAACGGTGATTCCAAATGATCGAACCATACTCTAGGGTCGATATCAAGAGAGAGTTATATAAAGTTATTACATCATCAGGTTTTGCGAAGCTTTTAGTTGTTCTTAGAATGAAACCTATATTTCTTCGACTTTTTGAACGATTCTTTCAACGTGGCTGTCAGCTGGAGTTTGGTACTCTTATCGTCAGCAAGAGCAATACTGTTTCGGTTCAATAATTGATAAAATAAGCCAAAGAGAGCGAAAGTTACATGCAGTAGGTCAGGTATAAGTCGAATTTTGTACTGAGCAATATTATTACGTGAATAAACTTATGTTAGGAATCTGAAAATTTTTCTAAGAATATATAATATGTGAATAGTTTCATTGGCGGCACTTGGAGAATCAATTGAAACAGCGTAAAGAGGAAATCATCCATATTTCTCAAAGTGGTCCAATTGATTTTTATAAGGAAAGTTTGAAACGTGAGTAATTTCAAAGTGATCATCCAGAGTGGTCTAGGCAGATGATTTATGGAAAACATCAATTAGTTCAACATCGAACATCATAGTCCGTCTGAAGTACTCAAGTACTAGGTCAAATGGGGCTTTACAACCGACTGCACCATCTGAGTATCAGTTGATTATTGTTATTCAGTTCAGTACCAATATTAATCACAAATTACGCGTGGGGGTTACTCTTAATTTCGTTAAGTAGTTTAGTTCCGATTTTTACTCACCTGAAATATTTGAGCCATCCTAGTTTGTTGTTGAAGAGAACAATGATTTTCTATCGACAAAATGATAGGGTAAGGCGATGAAACGAAGGCATTCTTGTCAATGGTCTCTACGACCGAACTGAACGGTATTTTGGTAGTAAAAGTATGACCGTGATAGATCATGGGGTAACCATCATCCCCGTCCCAACAATCCAATTCGACACATCTGCAGCCAGTCAGTAAAACCTAAAAAATAAATCTGATGAAGGTTCATCGGTGGTGGATAGAGCAAATGTTCGACTAGGTAACTCAATCAATCTGTTATGAAATTTGGAACCAACATGGATGAAAATATGAACCATATCCATTCAAAATCAAAAATATTGAAACATTAAACAATAAAAATGTGAAAAAAATCAATGAGACGATAAAGATTATGTATTCCAAATTTTTTTTTGTAGAATGTTTTGATGGAACATTTGGGTATCTCGCTTTTATTTTCATCATCCTGTCCACACAACGGGTCAACTCAGGCTTTCACGATGCTCAGACTTTTTCACCAGGGAGGAAATCTTGAACGGTGACGAGACACCAACATGTTCAAAATGTAACGATATATGGAATTGCACGAAGTCTTTGTTGATACAAAAATCCCCTAATAGACTAGTGATCCATTTAAAAAAGATTTGGATATGGTTGATCATCCCTTGTCGATATAACCTATATGTTGTATCTAATCATAGTGGAACAATATTGTCTGAACACTACACAGCCATATGGTACGAGTACAATGACTAGATTGTTTCACCGAAAACCTCTGAATCTATTGTGAATGGAGCAGAATGCTGTCGAATGAAACCGATGGAAATAACGAGTTGGTTTCCTCGAAGAAAACCATTGAAGCTAAGGATAGAATCAACAAGATGAAATCTCAGGACAATACTAGAGATATAAAGATGAGAGTTAGTACTCCTCTGAATAATCAAGAGAAGATCGAAAGGCTCACTTGACTTCAGAGAATTACAAGAATTGTGGCAAACTTTTTGAAGAACTGAATTCTTCCACTGAGACGTGTCATCGTTCGAATTGTCACTAAAGTATAAAGGAAAGTTCGAAAGGAGGTTATCACATCATGTCAAACAAAGTGGACAGGATGATGAAAAAAATAGCGGCGTACGCAAATGTTCCAACATAGATTCATCTAACCTGACTATATAGTTCTACAGATGATTCTCCTTTGAGTTGGTGGCCTGTTAAGTAGGTGTTGTGCGAAGATGCTATGTAGTAGGTGGACATGGGGAGCGTCATTTCAGTTTCGTTAGGAACTTGTTTCTCTGGTATGAAGGCGAAGTTGTCTTTATCCATGAGGTACCTTGCGAAACCCTCAAATGATAGACAATTTTGGAAACGAAGACTGGCATCTGGCTCATGCCTCTAGAAAACATGAAAACATCTTGGTCAAAAAGTTCAGTTTCAGATTTGTTATAGATCTGACCAAGATCTGTTGGGTGAGAAGCAACTATTGGAGAAAGATATCGTTCGTTCAATTGATCATATGCTGTTACAATGATCTGAACGTTGCATATTCTTTAGTGTTCTTAGGTTAGCAACACATAATTGTTTACATTGTTAGCACTATTGGGATCGTTCAACAAGAGCATAAATGAGAAATATAATAGAAAGAATGACATTCATGGAAAATCGAAGCAGTGTTTCAATTTACTGGTATCATTGATAAATAGGCCAGTTGACATTGATGACAGATCGTAGCCAACCTAGGAACTCCTGAACAGATGCAACCGATCTCCATTGCATCTAGTCAATTTTGTACCACGTCTAGTAAACGTTTCTATGTATAGATTCCGGATAGGTAACTTACATAAATTAAAGCTTTGACTTGATCTTCCGTCCGTACTTCCATTTGCCTGGTTTCCAGAAATTTCGTGAACGTGGAGAGTGTGATGACTTGAGAATTGTTAGAATCGATGCCGGCACAATTCGTGAAGATACTGGCAGCAGCGATGGCGTCATATATTTTCTTTTGAGAATTCACCACTGTACCATCGAGTTCTGCTTTGCTATTCCTAGTTAATAGACCTGTCAAAGATTTGCATTACAGGAATTAGTTGCAAGTGGAAGCTTGGCTCAATCCTGGATCATAAGTATCGAATAGTTTCCTCTATCACTATTTCTTTTCTCAATGAACGTTAATGTATAATCATAAAAATACTCAACAGTATTATACACAAATACTGAATATTAGCTCTGCCACAAACATTTTTAGTAAAGTAGTGTGCTCAAGCTATTTCTGGATCATTTTCCAAGGATACACTACTCTGACCCAGGAACGTCATAGTCATACTACTAACCAACAGCTCCATTCAGAGCGAATAAATTAGCAGATACTACTACTATACCATCACCACTACTACTAGGTACTACCCCCACTGCTACTACTACTACCCTCGTTATCAATTCTTCTATAATCTATCAGACCGTTGGCCCATAACACTATAGGAGTGTCGATTATCTACAAAGCTATGCCCTTCAAGAGACATAAATAATAAGTTGGATTATCGAGAAAAACGTGGCTTGTTGGATCGATACCCGGTCGCCATTTCCCTAATCAATCAACTTCCTGTTGAAAGCAATGTTGAGAATTGTAGTGTAGATAAAACTCTGAAATCAAGTCACATTTCGCTCAATTAACCGGGCGCTAGCCGATTTGCATACATCTAGGTCGATCCCGAAGGGAAGAATACGGACCTCAAGTTATTCAACCAATATTTTTCTGAGATTATGTATGAAGATATGCCCTTCAGTTGAACCTTTCATTTTGACCCATGATTCAATGTTATAACAATTGCCTACAGTTTGGGTGGATACATTTAGCCATATTACTAGGGTCACTTTGAATCATTCACCTATGAGTGCAAGACAGAATATCTACGAAGCTCCGAAATTCTGATCAGATCATTTGAGTACAAACTATGCATGTAGTAAATTATTTGCATACGATTTGCGATTTGTGGGGTTTACATTCAGTCTGGTAGAATTAGCGAATGGGCGGCAAAAATCCAAAAGCTGCTGCTTTTGCTGCTGAAAATTGGTTGATAGGTTTCTTGAGACATTTTGATGAAATAGTTTGATGAATTACGTAAAAAAAAAGGTACCTGCAAGATATATCCCTTTTTTATTCTTATATCTCGCTTCTTGTGGGTCGTACAACACCCTATGGGAGCTTCAGATATGACAATGAAATTATCTCCATGATATTAGTTCTCACTTCAACTCGTCCCGATTGACCCTTTTCCAGTTATTCAAGGTCGGAGTTTGCAGAAATAAGTTTTTGTTTCTGAAACTACTATGAGAAGATGATGAATGATTTTATAAATAATTATTTCCCCTAATAAAAAATGATCTTATTTTCCAGTTATTGACTTCAATTGAACTCTTTCAGGCATACCTCCATAGATAATCGACACCCTAGTGTTATGGGCCAGCGGTCGATATAATTATTGTGTGCTTGAAATGCGTATCTATGTAGAATTAAATAGCTATAGGTATTGAGTTCTTGAAGAATCCTTTTATATGTATAGGTATTTTTGAGTTTTTGGACTCACCAAATTTATGCGGTTTCTTTGGTTGCTCTATTTTGGATTTGATACCGTTTATCTTAGTTGTATTCACAGCCGTACTTCTATAAGATATTGCTAGTTGTTCGAACAGATCTCTGAGATCTTTTCTTATTAATAAACTGAAAAAAGCGATTCAGTAGATCACAAGGTGAATTTCATGCATGAGTGGAGACTTACCTAAAGGAACGAAAAAGGGTAACAAAATCTACAAAATCTAGTTGAGTATCGTACAGTATTGAGCCAACTCTCGGATGTCTACCATGCCATAAGTGCTCAGTCGAACCATGCCTATCCCTAAAAATCAAAAGTCCAACTATAATCCCAGTAAATGAACGAACAAGTATAATATATGTTTATTGACTATGGTTCTTCTGATGTTGATATCTACAGTTATCGAAATTATCCAGTGAAATTGAAATCCGATTGATTAATTTTAATTGTAATGACCAGTTGACACCCGAAAAGCTCTGTTGATGTACCAACATATTTGAGGTTTACACCTCTTGGTTCAATACATTTCCAATGAGAGGCAGTTCCAAGTGTGTGACGGATGACTCGGATGATCACCAGGAATTTATAATCGACTGATATGCTTCGATAGTGCTTCCTCACTAGAAATTGTATCCAAGTTTGTTCCAGAGCTCACGACTGTGACACTCGATAGCATCCATGCATTCTTTCAAAATGGAGGTAGAAAAATTTGATTCACACTTGATCTTGACCTTGTTGGTTGATGTTTTCCAGCAGGCTATTGGATTGTGTTCGTGAAAGTTGACTAGTATATGAGTATATCAGTATTGTCAAGAAGTACAAATGCCTATGAATCAACATCACTCAAACTCTCGTCAGTTCTTTTAGTATTTGTCGTTAAAGATATTTGTGTTAGGAAAATGAATATTATCTTTGTTACATTTTGACTTGCACTAAACATTTACATGTAACAGTGTTAAATAAAGCCTATCTATCTATCTATTTGCAAAAAAACCGCTAACCGTGCGATAATACCTAGGTAAGCAATATCGAAAGGTAACGGCCATTTCCATTGCGAAAAATTGCGAACCTAGTTGTAAATAGTACCCGAGTCGATAAGGCATCATTCATTATTATCAATACAAGTCATTAGTGATTATCAATTGAAAATGTTCCCCATCTTCCCGACTTCAAGCCTGCTGGTCAACCTCATGCTGGACGTTGTGATGTAAGTACTGTTTTTTTCAGGTGTTGTATTGCGTTGTGTTTCAATTGGCAAGCCATCATGTTCTTTTTTCTTTGCTAACCTGCCATGTGGCAGCATTTATTCATGACCTCTTCATTTATTTATCAATAAATGTTAATTTTATATGAACACTGTCTGATCTCTTTATTTGGGGATGAATATGGATGGGTGGTGGAATGATCAAAACCTCTCGTCAAAAAGCCAAGCGAGTATCTAAGTTACAACCTTTAGGAGGGTCGACATCTGAGTTGCGACAGTATAATATCAGTTAGTCTGGCTGCTCTTGAGGCACTGAGCTCAGGAAGATGAACTTTAGGAAATATGCAACTCCAATGAATTGTGGCGGAGGGCACCGGAAAAGTCGACGTCTTCGCCAAAAATTGAAACGAAGATGTGTTTGTTTAAAGGACCTTGAAGAGTATTGAGGAGTATTTCAGATTAAGCGGAGAGGTTGGTTTTCTAATATCAACATTTATTCCTCGTCACGGGCTCCCATAACTTGGATTATGTTGCCAGAGCATCGTTCATCAATCCACGGCTACAAATGCAGATTCATTTAGGAAACTGAACTAAAAGGCCCTCATATAGAAATCCATATAAAATCGATAACAGCATATATTCGAAGTAAGATACAATGGGTAAAGAGGCCTAAGTATCATCGGGGACTCTTCAGTCAGACGTTAAATATTGTGAAGTTTCGGAGCATCGGCTGGGGATAGTCCTGCACGATTCGCTGTTGCGTTCCAATTAACAGTGCTGCTCCTGAAGTGGCGCATGGAGTTAGTAACAAAGCCTACACAAAACACGCAGAAAGAGATGATGATGTGGTTGTGAGCATCAGAGAAGAAGTAGGACGGTGTATGTAGGTGGGTGTGGAAAACTATCAGCTGAGCGTGAGAGCGGGCCAGCTGCTCAGTGGACCTCGGTATCTCTAACGAGGGTTAACGAGGATAGCTAGCAGGCCTGCCACTGCGCATATGGTAGTGAGTACATTACTAGTCTACAAAACACAGCCGAAGAACTCTGAAAGAGAGCTGATGGGCGGTGCCTGAAAAGGATGTTAGCCAGCTCTCTTGAGCGAACCACACACATCAGTCATTGAAAACACTTGGGTTTTGCAAAAAGGTACCATTGCTGACGTGCAAGCGTCCCCCACCAGTACCAGTACCAGTTTCAAAAGAGTTTAGTGGGTACAATATCGATAATCCCTCATTAACCTAAAGGGCATAGTCTAGGGTCGACCCATTATAGGGGGCGAGGTAGAGGGGTGGTATTTGCCCCACCAACATATAGAGTTCATATAAACCCCAATGAAAGTAATTTTCTCGTGGAATTGAATACAGTACGTTCCTCCTCACCTGTCGAATTTAGGCTGGGAGCAGTTGTAGGCCAACTGTCCCAAGCTGTGGTGCCTCAAAACATCGTGCTGGTGATCAGGAAATGTATTGGGGGCGGACTGTCGATGGTGCGTTGCCGTTCGCCAATAGCCGCTCTCCATGCACATTGTTGCCGGCTCGACGAATTGGGAGCGCAAACTCCGGTCCTAGAAAAAGGAGTTCATTTTGACACATATACTTGGTTTTTGTAGTGTTCTCAGCAACTCCACTTGATTTTCTTGTATTATCCTTGTCCAAGAGAGTCCATCAGATGGTACAAAAAAGTGATTCATTTATAAGATATAACTGTTATGAACGCTTTCATTATCTATAAGGGGAAGAATCGTTCCGCAATTGGTTGTGTGAAGTTCGGTGAACAATTGATAAGAGAGCTTTTCCGAGTTCATGAGGCTATTATGTACACATGGAAGGCATTTTGTGAAATTGATGAAACTACATTATCACCGTAGAGAAAGGGCAACACCAAATACGAATGCAAAATATGATCCACATTTAATAGAGACAATTCCTCTTTCTGGAAATCATCGTCGTAAAAGATATTTCCTGTGTTACAGACAATGCGCTAAGGATCACATCAGAAGAGTAAAAACCTGGAGATGCAATGTCTCGAAAATTTTCACAAATCATACATTCTATCATATGTCGTTTTGTATACTTATAAAATATATAAACTGCAATTGCAGCCGTGTCCCTATAGATCGCGAATGACATGATATGAGGGGGCATTTCTTCATCGAACTAAACTCAGCATGATGTGACTACATTTCTGAGAATCCAATACCCGTTGGATTCCAAAATTTGGATTGATGAGAAATTAACATGGGGAAAGCATATTGACATCCTCATAGGAAAAGTATCTCCCATTATTGGTGCTTTGAGAAGATGTCCTAAACTTAGTACATATACATCAAATATCATTCTCTATTCACATATACTCAGTCGAATCAACTATCTCATAAATATTTGGAGATCTTGTTCCAAAAATAGTTTCAACAAAATTTCTGTTCTATATAAAAAGGCATTGAAATTATTGTATCGTCTTCCATATGATACTCCAACGAATCAACTGTATAAGGAAGCTAACACATTTTCTTTGGAAGAGCACTTTTTGATCAATACTCTCAAAATTTCCTATTATATCATCAACAAAAAGCTTAAATCAAATTTTATATTAATCAGGAATTCCGAAATTCATGATCATCACACTAGACAATATAACTTGTTTCATCTTGAAGCTGCAAATTCTAAACTTGGGCAAAAAAAGTTTACACATGAGGCGATTTCGAAATTCAATAAATTACCAGATAATATCAAAAACAGCCTGAATATCATGCAATTCAAAAATAAAGTTAAGAAATATATTTATATGCAAAGGAATGATCAAAGCTGAAAGACTATGAATTTTCTTTTTTCTTTTTTCTTTTTTTATTCTTTTTTTTTTCACTGTTTTTATTTTTTATTTTTCCCCTTCTTGTTCACTATAATATGACTGTATCTTAATGATATGTAAGTTTTGTTCACTATTTGTAATTTCAATTATACAACAGTCGATAATACTTCATGAATGATCTTATACCAGGAATCACTGTCTGATCATTCATGTCATTCCTACTTGAAAATTAATTATACTTTATATATTATTTGTATGAAATGTATCAATGAAGAAGAGAATGTAATGCAATAACTGAAATAAATAAATAAATAAATAAATAAATGGTACTGCCTCAGGAAGAGTCCAACTTCAGCACTCACTGCCCGTGAACGTGTTAAATGAAGTTGCCTAAGGCCTGTTCGTTTGTACATGCTCTACCTGCTGAGCTTGATTTTTTCTATGACTTCTTCTGTTCACATCATGCCATGAACAGAGACAACTATTGAAAAAAATCAACTCCAGCAAGTTCAGCAATACAAACGAACAGACCTCTATAGTCACGTAGATTGATTGGTCCCAACAAACATCCTTGGGATGTCACATTCATATCTCGCTAGGTAACAATGCGAATGACAATAAAACATCGTTGGTATTGAGAAGGGACTCTTTATTTCACAAAACATTCGCAATTTTCATCACATTTCATATGATTTGAGACCCAAAATATAGGTGACTTAATTTGTGAGGCTTCCCAAAAGACTCACTGGAACCACACAATCTTGTCTATTCATGTAAGGAACGGAGGAGTCGCTTAATACGTATCGTGAGTTTCATTTGGCACCATAATGTGAATCATAAATTGACCAAAAAGGTTCGCATTGTGATGTCAGTGGGACTCTCAATTCGAGTCAAAGATGTGATGTGTGGCATGGATGTGATGCCCTCTTATATCTTTGGGATGAATCTGTGTTAACTGGGGTATGACGTCATCAACCACCCCGCATGGTGCGCGTCATAATCTATGCATTCCAGTCAGCGATTTAGATCCTTCAAGAACTACTATCAAGGAGGGCATATCAAAGTGTCCTGAGCTGCTGCCTAGGTTATAGATTTTCTCGATGTTCTTGCTTTATTGACATTTCTCGACTCATTATACTAGTATTGATTGTGTACTGGAATTTCGAGTGATCGTAAGTTCATTTTTCATTTACCTTGAACGTTTGGTTACTCAGCAGCTGTTTCTTCTTGATTTTCATTGAAACTTCTCTTCTGAGTGCCCCTGAAGTCTCAGTGTTCGCTCCGACCGATGACGTCATGCCAGCTAGAGACCAATCCCTGCCTCCGAAAGACTGACAAAAACAATCGTTGTATTACGCAGAAAGGTAGGAATGCTCGAATAAGTCATCTCCACAAATTTCAATGATGTTATAACATAATCATAAGGGACATGTTTCGGTCTTATAAAAGACCATCTTCAGCCTGATTAAAAGGTCTACGATACAGGAACAAATGATATTTTAAGTGAAAGAATTACCTAGTTTGTGCTTGACTTACTTTTAGTTGAAAAAATGTTTGATGCTACTGTTTCTTGCATTGTTGAAAATGCCCATATACCAGTTAAATACATACATTCAGCACTTCTATATGATACAGTGTGATGAATATTCCCAAAATATCTGAATTTTTCTAATTCTTCTAATTAACTAGAAATTCAATCCCGAAAATTGAACAAGAATCGGGAATAAAATCAAGAACGCCCCTTCAAAACAATTTGGATGATTGAACTTTCGTGGTTCTGCCTTCCGCACATAAAATTTGAAAATAGGTGACGTTAGAATTGCTACAATGTATAGGACTTTGGGTGGAAGAGGGGTCTAACCCCTAAATTTTATTTTGATCCCTATATTTTTTTATTGGCGCCATTCGATAGTATACGTCGAGCTTTTTCAGGATTTAAAATATTTGTACTCATAAATCTCCCTGGTTTTTGGAATTGAAGTTTGATAAATATGTAAGGTTTGATTTGTGGTGATTATCAGTTTTTGAGGTGTGGAATTTCGAAATCGAATGAAACAAAATGGCAGCCTATTCCAAAGTTCAGTGTATAACAAATTCGATTGTTATGATGAAAAATGGTGGATGCACTCAGTGTCTTCGCCATTTATTCGAATTTCCACGTTGAAGAAATTTCAGAGTCATCTCAAGTAATGACGTTCCTCAGTTTTCTTAAATTTACAGGAGTGCAACTCAAAGATTTTCAACATCTTAATTCGCTCATAACTCAGAGGTATGTCCATCGAAGATCATTGCTTCGTTATTTATTAGCGGAAGAACTTAAAAGCACAGCAATTAATTTGACATGTACAATACCTTACAGTACCTACTCCTCTCAGTACCTTGAGACGTCACCAGAGATACTTTAATTTCCACGGCAAACCGGATTATGAGATATGCCACTGTTGAAATTTTTAACAAATAATAAAAATATATCTTACATATGGACGTAACTCCCATGAGAGATGTATAGAAATTTAACTGGTGCGCTTGCTCCCTATTGAAGGTCTCTGATAAACCTTTGATAAACATACTTGACGTGAGTAAATCTCGCTAAGCTCACCCTGGTTACAATCCATATTTACAGGAAACATATTACTGACCGATAAATATTTGGATACGTATATGATTTGGATCAGAGCAGTGAACTGATTCCTGATCAAAGGATCGAAACGTCAATAAATGTCAAAAATATTCTTGAGCTGAAAAAATGGTTATTATTTCTGAGATTGGGGTCAAGTGTTCTTTAGGGACGTGTTCCGTAGTTTTTAAATTTTGTGTATAATACCTAATCCACCATAGAAAAAAGAAAATCTCTGTTCTACAACAGTATTATTTCAGAGATTTGAAATATTAGCGTGAACTGGTGTGAATAAATTCTAAGGTGAGTACCAGTTACCATATCTGCCTATTATGATTTTCGATATTGGTCTATTTCAATAGTTGATACATTCTTTGTTCTGGTTCTTCACAGAGGAAATTCATCAGATTTCATGCTTAAAATAGGTTCATGTTATGAAAGAAGTGGAGCTTATTAAAATCGGCTACAAAAAAGATTTCTTGCTTCTATTTCAAATTGAAATTTGAATGAAAATGTTGAGCACAGTATTCATTCGACCACAGAACAATGATCGAAATTGATTCATCCCTCACAGAACCAAGGTTTTGAACGATTTTCCGATTATGGCACCTCTATCGCAAATACCTGAACCCCACGTCCAAAACTCGCTTGCAATTGATCCATATCGAGAGTTAGTCTGACGAAACAATTGAAGAGTGAGCCCACCAGTTAAATTTCTATACATCTCTCTCCCATGGTTAGGTCACTTCGTGAGATTTGGTAGTCCAATAATTTGAGATAGGCCGAGTATTCTATATTTAATTACACTAAAACCAATGAATCATATCAAGTCATTTGACGAAATATCTCAAATTCCGATTCTTATGAGATACGTCATTACGTGAGATAACCCACGAATTGTTTCAACTTTCAGATTATTTTTCATATTCCAGAATACTAGGATAGAGAAAATTTGGGGTAATACCTACTCTAATGGCGTCCGCTGCTAATGGTCCACAACAGTAACCATCTTCGTGATACAGCTGCATATACTGTTCCTTCAACCATAATAATCTCCTATCACAGAGTGCTTGTTGTCTTGTCAACCCCTTGATTAACCAACATAATCCGCTGAACCATACCCTAAATCATGAAAAGATCAAAATTAGCAACAAAATATTTGATCAAATATAATAAACATTGAAAGCCTCGTGGGGGTGTATATGCGGACATGCGTGTACGTTGGGTCTGGTTCGCACCAAATAGTGGTCAAGAATACTATCTGGGACAGCCCTGCACTGATGAGGGCTAACAGCTCGAAACCAGTCTGCAGGTAGTCATGCGTTCCAGAACCACTTAGGCGCAGCTTGGCGTTTAGGAAGGAAACCCTCGCGATTTTATTCGCCTATACGAAATATTTCGAAGATTTCGGGAGGATGTAATCCAATGTTCAGCGTGGCATAGAGCCAGAAAAGTAGTTGTTTTTCTCTCGCTATCTACCATTTCTCTCTCTTTGTGAAATGGAGGTACTCAAAGTACCACATCCGACTTTGCAGGAAATAGATAGGGCTCGAGAATTCTGGATGAAACCATGTGAATAATTTTGAACCATAAGACATTTATTCTAAAATCAATATGATGACACAGTGGCGTTCTCGATCGAATTTTTGTCAAGTAACCTAATAAAATAGCAAATAAACGAAGCACTCTCATTACTTCTTGAAAAAACATGCGAAAATTTTGATTCATTGTCAATCAGGATCTTCTTTATAGTTTCATGATACTTTTTTATTTCTTGAATTTCTCCGAAAATTCTAAATAGGTACTGGCACTTTTACACAGACGAATGCTTGCCACACTACGCCTAGATACGATAGGTACGATGAATTGTAATTACTGTATCATGAAATCTATTGGGCAAAACCTTCGAAGCATTGGCACAAGATTCAAAGAACATATTGCTCACTCCAGATATAATCGGTTCGGAAAATCATCTGTTGCCCAGCATATACTTGAGACACGTCAACCTATCACTTCAGATAATTCAAGATTCAAGACGTATTTGAGCTTTTCTGAATATGTATGTGATATTTAGTTATAGTTTGTATTTGATTATTAAACCACAGAATCCGAAAGGTGAGACTTCACTTCAACAAATTCATTGGTTCAAAAACCTTTTCAAAGTAGGATAAGTATATCAATTCTGTATAATTTGTTTTCGTAATTCCATAATATTATTTATCTGATGGCATGTCATAATGACAACGTTATGTCACTCAATTTTGATGACATAAGGAAGCTCATTATGGGACTAAGTACCATAATGAATTCATTATGGGACTAAGTACCATAATGAAATTCTATAAGGAAAACATGTAATGGTTTGATCAAAAAAGTTTATTCAAAATGCATAACTATGTACAAAACTATTTATTATAAATGGTAAAAGAACAATTACTACAATTTGTAATATTAATATAATGGCAAAGCACAGCTCACTCACCTACTAATATTTGAAACTACACAATACTTACTCCTTTAAAAATAGTTGTCATTGTGACATGTCGAAAATGCAGTTTTTAATTTTTCGAAAATGTATTGATATAAATGCCATCAGATAAAATTTTGTATGTAATACGAATCATAAGCCGAGTCCGATAACACGGCGTGTGCCATAATGATCGTCTTTATGATCCTTATCACATAAATAACTATTTGATTTAACGGTATTCAGATGGCAATATGCGAGTGGAGTCATATCATATCTTGAATATAATTATAACTCAGAAACCTTTTAATTTCATATATTTTCAGAATTTTTCGGTCGCTTTTAAGGTCTTAAAATTATCAATAATGTCACGATAATCATGAAATTGCTAGAAATATACCACGAGTAAAAACTGACGTCACAATTTCGTAAGTAAGGGGCAGACCATAGCACAGTTGCTATATGTTGAAATACGATTGGGAACGTCAGAAAAATTAGTTATTCAATAATTCATCAATTCTCAATTATGTATTGGTTATATTCTTGATACGCAATTAAAATGTCAATTGTCTCAAAATGATTCCTCATGTGCTGTGACTTAGAATGAATTTGAACCGGTAAACGTGACAACACAGCGCACGAATTGTGGGCGTGGTCTTGTCAGTTCTCAGCATTCAACACAATCATATGATTCATGATATTTTGTAATGAAGTATAACAGATATTTTGACATGCTGGTTTCTCGAAAAAGTCACCATGGAATGTTGCACTTCAAGCAATGACAGCTCTGTCTGATAAATGAGCATAACTTGAGAGGCAATCAGATGGCTACAAGACGAAGAAATAAAAAATGTCGCTGTTATTTGTTACAGCCGTAGAAAAATCATAGTGTATAACTTGCACGGAATGCTAATGGGAAAGTTTCCTATATTGAGGTTCTGTGAAGTTTGTGAAAAATCAATTTATACGTATTTTTTCTTCTTTTCGTAATATCAAATTTCATTTCAGGAAAAAAATAAATAAAAGAGGAACTTGGCTCCTCCACCATTCCTATGACGTACTTTCTAAAAATCCACATTCACACAGAGTTAAAATACGATTACCGACATCATCAATTTGTCTAGATTTTTGAAAATTGTTCTTTGAATGCATGATAACTACATCATAACAGCAATGGAATATGATATAGGTTCTTAAATCCTACTTTGTCAAGTATTATGAATAATTTCCATAAATCTCTCATTGACTGAGTGAAGTTGATTACTAATAAAGATACATTATGATATTTTGAGACAGTATCTATAATTTTTGACTATTGTTGTATTACAATATGTTATTCATAAATTATCAGTCATTGTTCCACTGATGAATTCGTTCCTTAATGAAACGGATCGATTTTCCAGGAAAGTTGCAGATTATATCTTGCGACAGCGCCTAATACTTTGAGTCCGTCCACACCACTCAAAATACTGACAGGCACAACAGGAGGAAGGAGCCTTGGGTGTCGGCTTCATTTTGTTCTGACCGATGACAGTAAATAAGGAAGGATAGTATCATCGAATGTAGCCGATTGTGATTCATTGATTCAATGACATTCCCGTTTAGGATCGAGCTCTATTAGAGATATTTCAATGCATAAATAACAATACCATAAGATGCCAGAATGAAGCCAATTACCCTCTGCATTCCTGCTCCGAGTGCCTTTGTGGTCATGTATGTTTTTGTTCACCAGTTCCACTTCTATTCTTTTCATTCGTTTTTTATTCTGCTTTAGCTATTTGTTAGCTATTTGCTAGCTTTATTCTTCACCATCAGCTATTTTCAAACTGAATTCAGAATGTACACAAACACAAACAATGTCACAGTTTGCCTCCCCGAAAATTAGAAATTGCTTTAATTTGAGAATGAAAACGACTTGAACTTGATTGGTTGCCATTCTGTACAGCGTGGACATGAAACTGGAGACTTCCGAACTTATTTTATCCAAATAAATACAACATAACAATATACATATAACAATATACTATAACGTTACCTGCAAACTACAGGTGGACAGACGATGTAGAGCAACCTATTGTCGCTCAAACCGTAACCGTAGAGTATGGTTAGAGCGCATTCGTTTCCCCGTTCGTGATTGAGGCCGTATCTCTTTGCCATCGTTGCCAGCTCGACTTCTTTTTCCGCGTCCCTGCCTCCCAGCTGGACCTCTTTGATCGCCATCAGGTCCAGGAAGCTGGAAAAAATAGGTACTGATTCTGACTATTCCACTCATATCTTGAAATTCTCACAAGATCTGACCAATCACAAACCAAAGACAACTTATATTATTGATTATGATTGTACAAGCAGTGCATAAAAATTACCAATAATTTTGCAATAAAGCGTGTTATCTGAAAATTGCAAGTTTATTTTCATATTTTGACGAAAGAGCCAGAGTCCGAAGGAGAAGGGCTCTTTTACAAAACAGGAAAATATCCGAATGCAAATTGTATACAGTGCTTTTCTCCAATTCCCCCCCCCCCTCCTTGTTATTTTTTGAACGGGTGAACTGAAAAAATTGAAACTTGGGGCGACTAGGCGCAATATTAAACAAATTTCCAAAAAAAATTTCAAAATAAAATTTTTCAAAAATATGTTTTCTAAAATGTATTCGAAATGTTTTCTAGATTTTTCAATTTCGATTTCTTTCCAATAGCTAGAAGCAGATTACTTACTTACCGGTACGCACTGATGATGACTTAACAGTCGAAAGCGCTCTGCTACGAATATTGAATAATAATATAACGAATAATATATGAATCTGGCACGAAATACAAATCTTTCCTTCTTTGCTATCAAAGAAAAGCACTGTATAAAATTATGAAGGTTCTCAGCCAAAAATCTCTTTTCATTCTGTCTCCTAGGCGACGACGTACATTTTACAACTTTTGTTTTAATATAACCATACCTACTTTTTTTGTGACAGTGTTTTATAGGATACGAAACTATTACCTTTTAGTACCAAAGTGTGTTGGATATTTCATATCAGGACAAATGTTAGGGAAACCTCCTATATAAAAAAAATGTTATCCCTATAAACTCGGAAATGTGAAAGTAGGGATTCATGTAGCCTCGGGTGTATAATCCACGTAGCTTTGAAAACAAATTCCATATTTTCTAACTCCAGTGTAATACCACGCAGTATATTATCCAGATTTAATGTTATTGCTTGGAATTTGTGTAAAACATAATTAGATTCTAGTCATACAGAGTGCACTTTATCTAAAATTACGAATCACAAACTGAACGAATTCAATTAGACTTATCCATTCAAAACAAATATGAACTCGTCTACCGTAAACAGGAAAACTTTGGCTGAAAACGCACCTATTATTCATCATCATTTCCTCACTTGATGAATTCGCTGTGATGAATATGAATCTACTTACCACTAATTAGTAGCCTATTTGAATGAACGACTTTTATTTAATTAATAATCTACGAATTTACCATCCTCCTTCGAATTTCAGTACGTGTAGTATTAGTGTGTCATGTGTATACATTTTGAGTGATTTGAGTGGATGTATGAAAGTGCTAACTTACAATTTGACGTTTAGCCTATTTATTGAAGGATTCTCAGGTCGGGACTCTGATGCGATTGAAATAATAGCTATTTATATATCAAGGGAGCAAAGGTATCCATTTACTCATACATGTGAAGTTTGATTATTTAACACACAGCACACAGGGGAGGAAATTAACCTTTGCTCCCAAGATATACATTCTGATTCACGGTGGATGGAACATTAGACGTTTATGTGGAGAACGCAACGTAGGATTATACTGAAAATTCAATTCCTTGGATAATGAGTTGTGTTTTATCCACCTAAAATATTCTCAACACTGCGACGTTGCCGCTTACAATGAAAAGTAGCATTATCTTTGATTTTTTGAACGGGACAACCTATATATTATTCCATTTTCAGATTCTTCCTAAAGAGCTGATTCCTTCGATCTATTACACTTGAGGTCTAGCTGGAATGATAACAAAGATATAGGGTGTGAAAAATCGAGATTTTTCAACTTCAAGAATTACTTGTGTCGAAACTATTCATAATCAGTCAGAACGGCTTTCATGTCCCTATCTCAACTTTCAGGTACTATCAATTGATAATTAATTGAAATAGATACAGGTTGAACATCTTAATTCTGAACCACCCTGTACCTATTTCAATTAAATATTAATTGATAGTAAATAAAAAGTTGAAATAGGGACATGGCAACCGATTTGACTGATTATGGATAGTTTCGACACAAAAAATCTCGATTTTTCACACCCTATATCTCTGTTATTGTCTCTGCTAGACCCCAAGTAATATAGGTCAGTCAAATTAGCTCTTCAGGCAGAATCTGAAAATTGAATAATATATAGGGAGTCCTATTGAAAAAATCGCAGTTGTTGCTACTTTTAGATATTATCGGCAACGTCGCAGCGCTGAGATTATTTGAGGCCGATAGAACACAACTAATCATCCAAGACACCAAGGCATCAAATTATCAAATTATCAGAAACGTCTAATGTGCCTTCCATCGTGAATCAGCCTTTATATACAGGGTGTTCAGTTCTCGAGATACAGGGCGTAAAGTTAAGAAATAAAAATACTTGTTTCGCAATGTATTGTATACTTGATTTTTTCTCATAAATGTGTGAAATTGAAATTGATAATCGATTTGTTCCAGGAGATTCCTCCAAAATGGATAGTTTTGCTAAAAATAAATTGAACCACGGACATACTGTATACAAACCCTATGTAAGATTTATTTTTGAATTCAACTCTCGATGATGGAGAACTCAAAAAACGAATGATATAAACCGTGTTCCATTTGAAAAAAACTTGTGATCCTGATATCTCAAACGAGGATCCCCTTGTATACTTTTAATATTTCTATCGTGAATGCGGCAAATTTGAAATTGAAATCGACCTGTTCCAGGAGATTCCTCAGAAATGAATAGTTTAGCTAACTATGAATTGATTCAGTACCTACTTTACAAAAGCACGTATTGGACTAATGAATTGCTTTGGTGCCTATTCAATGCAAATAGTTTGCTGTGATAATGCAATTCTTTTCTCTGTGTAGCGATGCAAAGGTACTTTCGATTTCATTATTAGTCGATTTGTATTGGTTAGCTATCATTGACCAATAACAACATCATGTTTCATATATAGTAATGTCAAAGCCAAAATCGCTCAGCAATAAATTCAGCTCCAGAATTATGCGGTCTTAAACCACCTTTAACTACATCATCATGAATCGAGTGTGCTTTGGGAGTATTATAATCGACAAAACGCAGCGGGAAATCATAACCCCAAAATCAGTCCATAATAATTATTGTTGACAGTTCGCTTGATTGCAGTTTAACGGTCTTTCTCAAATGGATATACTGCAAAACCTGAAAAATCATGTCGAAGATACGAGAGACAGTGAATTGAGATCGAGGATCATAATGGAATTATCAGAGAAAAAGTACAACTTGCAGAAAAAGTTGAGGGATGATACGATGAAGCTTTCAGAAAAAAAGAGCAGTTTGTTAGAACTACGTAAAGAAGTAGTAAATCTTGGTCATTCGTACGTTATGCTGGAAAAAAAGGAGGAAATTGCGCTGGAACTAGTGAAAGACCTCACGAAACAGGTGGTGATACAAGAGAAAGCTACGGAAAAAATACAGGTGAGTGCTGTCAACATTATGGAAGGTATTGGCAGATTTCAAGGTCATATTATAGGTCTATGGGTCTATCTTTCGATAATGATTCCAATGTATGCCAGGAAATTTTCCCTAAACGTTCACGCAACGTCTGATGATGATCTTGAGCTTCCTAAGATTATATACAGGGTGCATGTTACACTACTAGGTAAAAGTGCACTATCATGTGATGGTTTTTTTTTTCGAAAATATTCTCTGGTACTTATTTATTTTTGTCTGACAAACACGAATTTCACATAGAAAATGTGAACAAACCGCTATTTATCGAGATATTTCACGAAACATTTCGAAATTTCATCTTCTTTTGCCACCCATCATGGATATTCATTTACAACTAGGTACTTCTCCTTCCTTTTCCATTACTGAACAAGTGGACATTTTATATACTCACGTTGTACTTCAATAACACATTCTATTTCCTATAATCAACAAGAAGTATGGTTTATTCGAATTTTTTTCATATTGTATTGAGGTGAACAATCACACCAGGATACCAGCTGATGGCCATTCGATTATAAAATCTAGTCATTTCCATATAAACCATACTTCTTCGTTAAATGGCGGTTCGTTCACATTTTCATTGTGAAATTCGTGTTTTTCAGACGAAAATACGTATAAAAAAACACTAAGTATTTCATAAGTGCACTTTTACCCATACTAATTGGAAATATTCCAGCTATGAAATCTTGAGCTCAAAATATGAATATTCAACCCGAACCACCTGGAAAAATGTGTCTCCTGTCTGTTACAGGGTGTTTTATTATTTATTATATCACAAAAACTTCAAGAATTAATATGTTATTATTATTTTTTCTGTTGATATGGATTGGAGTTTCATTTACGTAATCAATGCAAACGATCCAAGACATCGACATGGTTATACAGAGTGACCCATTTAAAAGCAAGCCACCCTCATAATTTTTCTCCTTCATGGAGCGAATTTCACGATTTTATTTTCGAAATCACATCACATTCATAGGCTGAGAAATCTAAAATCCATTTTAGCGATTTTTTTTTGAAAAAAATGCAACAATTGTATTTCAAATTAGTCATTTTAATTTTATAATTTTCCATTTCACGATGATACAATAACTGGAACCAGAAGCTTTCTAATAACAGGGTGAATGAAAATGTCTTGCTTGTGTGCTTTTACAGTTTTGAAATTTAAATGATGCATTACGAAATACATTTGTATTCTTGGAAATACAAATGACTATTTTGGAATTTGGAGTGTTAGTTTTTGAAATAATTTGATACTTTTGAAATACGTTTGATGTTTTCTGAAATTGAAATGACTAGTTTGAAAAACAATTGATGCATTTTGAAATGGAATTGATGATTTTGAAATGCATTTGATACTTTTTGAAATTGGGTTGACTGATTTGAAATACAAATGATGATTTTTGGAATCCATAAGACAATTGGAAATATAATCAGTCGATTTTCAAGTGCTTAAATCATCAAAAATGCCACGTGTTATTCAAACATTC